GGCTGCGACCGACCAGCCTTGGCTTCTTGCGGTGGCTCCGGTACCTTCTCAGGCGTCTTGCCATTCTTCGCTGCCTGGGTCTGTGCGGCCCTCTGCCGATTTTGTTGTCAGATTCTTGCTGTGGGGAAACCGAGGAACATGGGCTGGGCTGTCCGTTTTCAGATCCCCCGCTAAAAGTGGATCACTTTTAGTGGGCTGAATGGAAATCCCTAAACACTGAAAAGCTAAAAAGCTCAGGAACCGGACGGCTGGGCACTACAGAGTTGAAAAGGTGAAGGTTGCCGGCTCTTAGCAGGGGATGAGTTAACATGACCCCTAAAACCCAGCTCGCACCTGTATTCGGTTGTTTTCTGTTTTCCTGCTAAAGGTGAATAACTCTGAGTGGTTTAATACGGAAAACACCCGAACACCCATTAGTTGGCAAAAAGGTGAAAGTCCCAACATCCCTTGGCAAACTGCACCAAAGTGTAGCACAGCTTCATTCCCGTTGACCTCCGGCTTCTTCACCGCCTTCTTCTCAGATGCCTCAGGCTTCACCTTCTTCGCCTCGGTTGCCAGTGAGGGAACTCGAGCCATGGCGTTTTGCGGACTCAATTTCTGGATGGGGGACCCGGAGTTAAGAATATCTGGGAGAAAGGGAAGCTGTTCCATTTCTTGGGGGGTAACCTTCAATTACTTGTGGAGGGAACACCTTCCCAATCATCTGTCATGTTTATACGGGGCGTTGCCCCTTCCCTAAAACTGAAGCAGTTCACCGGGAGGAGAAATTCACTGGCCAGCCCACCAAACGAAAAGAAGCTTCTTCTGAGTGGGCAAGCCGCAAAAAGGTCCGCACTGCGTTTTACCACCAGAATTGTTGTTCATTCCCAAACAGGTCAGTCCAGGAGCTCGGGCAGGGAGAACAGAAAAGAGACCAACTCCGTTCAAAATGGAGGCTTGGCCAATCCTAACCCTTAACCCCTACAAGATAAACAGTTCAAAGGTGACCCCTACGCAGCTCAAGGGAAGGATTTTCAGGAGTGCCTTTTGAACAGCCCAGACAAAACTCGGTTGCTTTCTGCTCCCCTGCTAAAAGTTTAACTTTTGGTGGTTTAATGGACAACCCTAGTTGGCAAAAAGTGAAAGTCCTAACATCCCAGCAAAATGCACATTAAAGAAAAGGTGGCACTGATCCAGGCTTGAGCCGCGTTCTCTGCCTTCTTCTTTGCCTTGGCCTTCTCAACTCGAGCCTTGGCCTGCTCCAACTTCATTGCCTTCACCTCCTCCTCTTGCGCAGCCTGGCTCAAGCGAAGTCCAAACAGGAAACAGGGGTCACTGGATTTCCCCAAATGAAGAAATGGAGGAGCCCTGCGATATCGAAAGGGTTTCCACTACCCCCAAACCCAAAGGTGAATGCAGTATATACCCCTTGCACAGTGGCTACACCCAGGTTGCACATCCCGTTGAAGCTCTGGAAGTGGCTTGGGGCAGTGCCTGCTGCGTGCTCAAGATCCGGAAATGCGGAACCAGGCAGCAAGAGCTGGCTGACGGGGGTGTAGAACCATGACAAACTTTTCCCTCCGCGGTGCCGGACGTTTCGGTGAGCAAAGGGCGCACAGCCAAAACAATCCCAAATCCACTCCCTTTTGGCTGAAGCAAAGAGAAGGGGCCGGCCACGAAAAAGCTTCGGGTTCGCCTTCCGCTGCTCCTGCTGCTGCAGGGCATTGGCCCCCCAGAGCTCTTGCTCCGTGATGTCCTGGCGCTCACTTCACGTGCGCGGCGCTATGGTAGATGTCCCTTGGGTTCCCCAAGTAAAAAAGCAGCCCAAAAGAGTAGCTCGTTGCAGTTTGCCCAGGGGGTTTAGAGGCTGCCACTAATAACTCCTTGAGTGCATTTGCGCCATTTTCTGTATTTCCATCTGATAGTTGAATCATCAATCCATGACGTTGCTTTGTTGGCAAGGAAAAACCTTGATTTTGACAGGTCTCAGGGACAAGCTCATGGTGCAGGAATAATTACTGCGCATGGATTCAAATTCCACTTCTCACCACACGGGCCCAAAAAACAGTTGAATACTGGTGGATCAATTCCACTTGAATTGGGCACAAAAAACAAGTTGACTCCTGTTTTTTGTGCAATTGCGCTTTAATTCCGACTTGGGTGGGCGAAACCACTTGACGAATTTCCCACCCAGGACGAATTTCCCTGGGAGTTGCCTGGGATCCGTTCCTCTGAATTTCCGTTCGACTTCGGACTTCGCTTTTTCCGGGCGGGCCTCAAAGACCACACCCTGTGGCACACGCTCACCCATCACAGGAGGTGCTGCTAAGAGGTCCGTGAGCGGCTTCCTCGCGTTCTCGGACAACATGGGTTCAACCCACCCCCCGTTGTCATCCGCACTTTGCCAGACTGAAAGCTTGTCACAAATCAAAGATGCTCGTTGATTCAAGGGCAAGACTCAGTATCATCGGAGTCCTTTCGATCGGTTCGCTTGGTTCGAAATAGGTGGATTCCACTGGTTTAGATGGTGCATTCCATTTGCCAGGGGCACTGATCTAGTTTTCGAAGTCACATGCCCCTTTCAACTCGCTTGCGATCCAGTGGATGTGCCAAAAGAAGTCAAACCAAACTTGTTGTTCGCCGCGAACATGGTCTTCTCAAAAAGGAAGTCAAGGAAGGAAAATCAAGAGGTTGCTTAAACAGTGGCTGGCATTAACATGTACGTCTCACTTTGGGGATTCAGCCTGGTACCCTCGTGACGATATGTTCAGGTACCCTCTAGGTAGATAATTACTACATGTCAGCCTCTGCCTTGCCAAAAAAGAACGGAAGGCAACATAAGAAGCGGGTAAGTTGGAGTTATGAAGATCCCCGTGACTTTGGAATCGCCGAAGGGCATGGAAACAAAGTGTCGCTTGCCTTGGACATTGAAGTTAAGAAGTTATTTGACCCTGTATAACCATTTGGGGAACCCCCTTTTTGGTTGGCTTCAAAGGAGACCAACCATTTTGGGGGGGTCCCTCAACAGGGGTCTCTGTGGGACATCTGGACCCCCGTACATGATACGGCACGCCGAAAAGACCACAAGGTCGGCTCTGCGCTCGGCCGGCGAGACAGGTGACTTTCTGCACTAGAGATGTGCAAATAGTTGGCTCAGCTAAGCGATCTTGTCAGAGCTGAGCACAAGCCTTTTGGGTTGCCCTGATGAAAAGTCTGAAGGACAAATCTGGAAAAGTGAAAGGCATCCGGATAAGTCCCATGTGAGGGGGAGTGCCCAAGCTGAAAAGCAGAAAGGGTAATTCGATTTGCAACTGGAACCCTTAATTGCCAAAACAAATCTGCCTCTTGTATATTATCCATTGCTCCAGTCAGGGCGTCAGGGTTTTCCGCCTTTTTGATTTCCCCTCTTGTCTAGCCAAGCTGCTGACTCGCTGCCAGGCTCGCTGAGGGATCCTGATGTCACCGACGGACGACAATGCCCTAGTTGGACCCATCCCATCTCTCTCTCTCCCTCTCTCTCTCCCTGCCGTTGCGTCCAGGAGGTCTTGACTCGGCAAGGCAACTGAAGGAGAGTTGAGTTACTGCCGACCCCAAATTAACAAGCCCGTCCGAAAAAGGGGGCACCCCCCCTATTCATCAACCAGGCGTTCTGCTTAATCTGGAGTCAAAACTGCTGGGAAGTTGAGCCTCCTGCAACCCAGCTGAGTATCGGGAAGCAAGGCAGGGTTGGCTAAATCGGCGAGCCCCCCCCCAAAAAAAAATACATGAGTTTATACATATATAAATACATATACACAAACATATATATATATATATACATACACATATACACACACATATGCATATACACACATGGTTATGCACATTCCAGCTTGGAAAGTTGCCCACAAGGCATCATCCCACATGATCTACACTGGAGCATAAAGCTCGAGGCGGGTGCATCGCCTCATCCGATTCTATGGCACAGTGGATGGTTTTCCTCACGCCCTCTACAGTTTCCACCAGTGATTTCATGCTTAGAGCTGGCAGCCAAGGGAATCAGCCTTTGAACCAACAAAGAAAACGGCTGTTTACCTACTATAGTGATAATTGGGATGGGTTTCTCTTTTCGAGGGTGACTACGGGCTGTTTCCCATACCCTCAACATATGCCGTACTACCTTACATGCCCACTGCATACTCCATGTGAACATTAGCTTCCCCAGCCTAAAGCAAGCATGCGCTCGGCACGTAAAGTTCCCTTGAATGTTGCTGCGCGTCTCACGGCTTCCCTGATGCTGCACCCCCCTCCACCATGTTTCGCACGGTTTGAGGCCGGAGTGCCAATCCGCGGCAAAAGCTTGGCGAGGCTATGCGGGTGGAAGAGGAGCAAAAAATCAAATTTTAGCACTTAAGTGGTTGGATTCCAACCACTAAACCACAATAAGCAAACATGCAACAATGTTTCCCAACAACAACCTAGGGCTGTGCGATTCAATCCACCTGAACACGTCCAAGCCATCATTTTGAGCGTTCCCCTAAGGTCCAAAGCCCACGTGCTTCTTTTAATCAACGTCCCCAAGCCCAAGAGAAACCCAGCGGATCCAAGAAACCGCCGCAGCTCACGAATCGCTTCGGAGCAGGAAGATACATGTCCACTATGGGAAATCAAGGGCCGCCACAGACATGTGTCCATACTCTGAAGATCCTGGCAAACAGAATGGAAAAACGGGAGTTTGTTACCACACATTTACCCTTATGGTTTAGCTGAGGCTGGAAACCCTGATTATACCTTTGAAGGGAATGCCAAAAAGAGTGAGGGATCCCCTCGACGGGTTGCAACCTCTCAGGTTACCGTTACAACTTACTAACTTGGCGATTCGAACGCCCAAGTATTGATTCTGGGTCGACATTGCCCCCATCTGGTGGTCCAGATGGGCGCTTCGGAGGCCAGATGGTCCCGGGCTTGCGATTCAAATCAGGCCTTTTCGGGTCTCACATTCCAAGCCCTTCCATTTCTGCAATGTCTACCATGATTCCAGAAGCTGAACTAAGAATTGGATGCCAAAGTAAAGGACCCTTCTCATGGCTTTCGCTCGTGAAACCCAAAAAAAAACAGTGCGCTCGCAAACAAATACGGGTGTTTGGAGCTTTCGAGGGGGTAAGAATCGGATCAAAGGACCTCCCGAAGCGGGCTCCTCCGTGTTCGCGTACTCCGCCCGAGCGATCTCCCAGAGCCGGAGCAAATACTCGCTGCGGTGCATTTCCTGAGGTGGACTGGGGGTGTTGCTTCTTCCTGGACCCTGAAACTACCAACAAAAAAAAGGAATCACAAAACCCATAACTGTGGGTTGCAATCACCCATTGTTAAGTCGGAATTTTGAGGGTCCAGATAGCGTGAAAAAAACACTTTTGATTTTGGTAGAAAAGATTAACCTGGTGAAGCCCAACAGCTTGGGTCTTCGGGGACGTTGGGTTGACTTGGGTCCCATTCAAGACACCAGTGCAACCCGTACAAAACCTCTGCCCTTCGATAATCCACCGAGCGGTGGGGTTTGAGTTTGCCATGTGCTTGAGATGGACACCCAAGCGTTCCCAAAAAAAGTTGACCCCCAAAATCCCGGTTTGAGGAGTGGTTTTGAGGCAATACAAGCTGGACACCCCCTCGCCCCCCCCCCCCCCTCCCCCCGCCAACTAAAACAAACAAACAAACAAACAAACAAGCAAAAAACAACTGAGGACAAACTTGGAAACCAGCCCCGCCGTCAAAAAAAAAGAGAAAATAGTACACAACATGAATCGCTGAGGGCAGATCGCTGCGGGAGGTGGGAGTATGTGGTGTCGAGCGCTCCTGTTGGAATGAAAAATGAAGGGCCTTGCTGAAGCCTCTTTTCCAACAAATGCCCGGCCTCATGATCACTCTGCAAGCGGCAAAGTATCTATATCCCCCAAAAATGGACCAGTCAAAGCTGCAGCGTGAACCTTTTTACTGCTACACCTTCCCTTCTATGGGGTACATGGAGCACCAAAATGGCCCAGTATCCCAACTCCCGAGCCCGGAGCGCATTGGTAGTTGCACAACAAAAAGGGTACAGGCCACTGACAGGATTTTCTCATGCGCTCCACATGCGCTCCACATGCGCCATACAACCAACTGCAGACCCACCCAATCAAGTTCTGAAGGCTGTTGATGTGTTTTTTTTTTTATGGGACACATCGGGAACCTAGCGGCACAGCGCAAATGACCCCACTCGATGTTTAAGGGTCCCAACAAAACGTGGGTTGGCAACCAGGGAGCCAAGGGATGAACAGAGGGCACGATTCCCACTACCCGGGTCAGGGGTCGTTACCCTTCTCCCGCTTCCGCTCGGTGCTTCTGGAATGCGCGGCTTGCCTTTCAGCCCAGCCTTTACCCCCGACGCAGGAAATTGGACGCCCATTCAAGGCACACCTCTCCATGCCTTCTGGGAATCCTTGTTAGTTTAATAAAGAAGAATCAACGTTTACACCTTGAAATAAGCACATGGAACGCTTCCGTTTCCATCAACACGAGGGAGGAGCAGAACTGGGCATCCATTCTATGCCATTGCCCAAAAGCAAGTCCAAAGCGTCCAAAGCCTCTCGTTGCCACGCAGTCTTCCCAAAAGGTCCAATGTCCAGCAGGAAGTCAAGAAGCAAGTTGAACTGCAAAACCATGATCTTCTTAATAAATAAATATACATAAGATCTGCACGAACGCTTGGTTGCTGTTGACCCCTCTGCAAACGTTTTCAACGGCTAATTTGCAAAACCCGACCTGTTTCAACCAAACAATTGAAGTTCAAAGACCCGGTACCAAATAGCCATAAAATGCCGTAAATAACCGTGCACTCAAAGAACTTGCAGACAACAATGGCTTCCGTTGATCTTCTAATCCAATCACTTCCTCAGCCAATGGCCCACAAAAAACTTGAACTCACTTGCCCAATAGACCCAAATTGGGAAACGCAAGAGGTCGATTCCCTTTCGTCAGAAAATGGGTCCAACTTCCCCAAAACATGCACCGACTGAAGTCCGCAAAAAAAACGGCCCTGGAGTGCTCGAGCGCTCGAGAGCTCGAGTGCCGTCAGAGCTGCGAGCGCCACCTGGGGCTTGTACTGCATCATGGGGGAATGATCCGCGCCCCCGAGGTCCCAGAGCTCAAACCCGGCCCTGCGGAGGCATTCCTCAGCTCCAACCATCCGAGCCAGGGGCCTCAGCGTTTGATCCGAGAGGGGGTGCCTCTTCCACTGAAATGCACAGCCTCCCGTGAAAATACACAACTAGGGGGGCCGCGGTTTTGCTCCCCAAGCAGTGGAAAAGGCAAACCATGCAAGATTGTAAGTTGCCGGCAACCTAGCTTATAAGCCAATTAGTCACCCGTGAATGCAACCTGCTGATTCGTGAGTTTAAGCCCACGTGGCTACTGACTTGACCGAACGTCCAGGTAAGTATCAAGTTTGCATTTTAGGGAGAGGGGTTTGGGAGGTATGAAGGTTCTACATAATTTGCATAAGGGGCAATACAAGCTTGTATTGGATCTTCAACCATCGCAAGCAGGTTCCAATTACGCACCTGGTTGATGAATGGGTGGTCCCTGCTACTAAGATGCTAAGTTGGTTGAACATCCAAACAAGACGGCTTTCTAGACGGTGGTGTGCGGAAATTCAACCGTGTGATACCAGCATGGGTCATTCCCATGACTACTCAAACTCACGGATTCCCACAAAAAAGCTCAGGTGACATCCCCAGCAGCATGCTGTGCTTTTAGTGCTCCCACCACCCCGCAGCCCTCGCAGAACCTCGTGGAACCCTGGTGGAACCCTCCTCGTTGAATTCTGGTGGAACCTTGGTCGAACCCTGCAGGTGGAACCCTGGTGGAGCCCTCGTGGAACCTTACCCCGGGGTCGCCCCGGACCACCCCGGAGCCTATCTGGGCTGCGACCCCGAAGCTTTCGGTTGTTGGGGAAAAAGTCGTGCTAAGTTCTGGACAGCAGGGGCTGACGCGGGGAAAACGCAAGCGTTGGTTCCTGGCGTTGATGTCCTGTTTTTCTGGGCCGGCTCTTGTGATATATCCGCGGGTAATCCGAAGCCCCCCCCCGACCCCGCCCGGAACCTTGGCCTGATTTGGGGAGCTGGGGGAATGGCGCGTTTACTGGGTGCAGGTCGAAAATCGCCGGCCGGAACCAAGGGATCCTGAAAAATATCTCCAAGCACCCTCAGCATATCTGAGCCTCGGTTTATCTTGCAGAGGTCCATACATTCGTCTTTGCGTAACCCAGGCAATCATTCGCATCATTTGCCCACCCCCTTTCATTTCTTCTGAACTGTGTGCTCAGGAACCGCCTCCGCATATGCGAGGACAAAGCCCGGCTGAAGAGTGCGTTCACTGCCTCAGTTCAGGCACTGGTTTGGAGGTTAAGGGTTGGTTTCCTCCTTGCTCTCTACAAGAGCCAGGGGTTCACATCCCCAAACCAACCCAAACCACCAACTGGGGGTTACCTGAGTCCTGTTGCCACCCAGTGTTCAAAAAAGCAAGCTTGGTATACAAGGAAATTGACACATTGGAAGGCCCGTAGATTCTTACAGCTAGGCAGTCTCTGAAGTGCGCTTCTGTTTTCGGGCAGGCAGGTACGAAGGTACTGCCGTTGCAAAAAGCCCACCTCCACAACCCATATCTAAAGGGGCAATCTGGAAAACTGGCAATCTCATGCGCAGCCATGGGGTAGGACCGACCCCGAAATGTGATCTTGGCTTTCAAGGACCCATGAAAGAAAACCCTCTTGTATTTTGCTCGAGGATGAAAAAAGGCCCTCTTGCATTTTGTCTTGAGTCATGAGGATCAGCCAAATTCAGGGTCCTGGACACCAAAATCACGGATGAGAGAAGCTCCAAACGTTTCACTCACGTCTATGTCAATGTTAACTTAAGGGAACACGATGCCTGTGAACAAGTTCACAGCAAAGCTCTGTCAACATCAAGCTTGCTAGTGCGTCACGCGCTTGAAAAAGGAGCTGCCCCACTTTTACATCCTAAGAGCCAACTCGAAGTTGTTGGTCGATTCCTCAACCATTTCGGTCATCTTTCCTCTTCAAACACCGGCCAGCCTTCCTTGGCGTGTTTGCAATTTCCGGAAAGCGACCGTGTATGGGTCCGGCCAGCTCTCACTCATCACCATTCCAGAGCGACTGATGACAGTCGAGCCACGAGGAATCCATTCTCCCACTGGCACATGTGTGTCAAGACAGGGAGCCTCAACTGCGTTCAGAGGGAATTCTGACCCCCACCATTTGATTTCCAACAGCTTGACACATCGGCAATCCTAAACTCGAACCGCCAAACATCTTCGGCGCGGCTTCTTGAAACATCCGGGAGTTTCCCACTTTGAGACGCACATGCTTCCATTGGTTGTCAATGAGCTGTTCCCAAAAAAGGGCCAAGGACTATCCCAATCCCAGCCAAGTAGGAAATGGCGCTGCATGATGGGTTAGTCTGAGTTTGGCTCTTGTGCCCCAAAAGAGGATTCCACCACTCGCACCCGTTGAACACGCGTGTTTCATTATGAGTGTCCCGTCTCCGACACATTGTTGGACACACCGGCACCCACATAGCCGGGTAGAATGCACAAACGCCAGGTTTCCTTCTTTGTTTTGCACGTCCGACATGGGCTTTGATCCCCACAAAAAATCAATGGCTGCATGGGCCTTATTTTGGCCATAGCCGTGTTTCGAGGGGCCCTTGGTAACAGACAGAATCCTCCAGCTGCAAAGAATCAATCCCATCACTAGCGGGAGTTGGTGGAAGAATAGTTTAACTTTTGTGGGTTCAATGAAAGCCCTTGATTTCAACCAACAAGTTAAAGTCTAAAGATCCAACCCACTCGCCATCAAGCTCTTCCTACGCCGCTGCCCCCGGTCCCCCGGCGGTCGCCTTTTCGACTGCCACGGGGCGGTCGAAGAAGCGGGTGGCCACGTAGTAGGCCCGGCCAAAGGTGTGGGCGTGCCCAAAGTCCGCCGCGATGAGCCGCGGCGCCTTGCCCTCCTCAAGCCCGCGGAAGCCGACAGCCGGAAGCCGAACGCCGGAAGCCGACCGCCGGAGATGGGAAGATGACGGTTCCCTGGTGTTAATTTGGACCCATACCCAATTCACGTGGCCGAAGGAAGCAGCTCGTTTTCAGGCTGCTGATTTCTCGGTGGCGAAATCTGCTCCCCTGCTAAAAGTGAATAACTTTTAGAGGTTTAGCAAAAAGTTGAAGTCCTAACATCCAAGCAAAATGCACTAAGTATTTATTCTTTGTGATGTCTCTGAAGTCTTAAACACCGCCAGCTGTGCCATTTTCAGTGAGCTTATCTCTAGCCGGGTGATGCGCACACAACTCCATTCCCTGAGAGGCAGCAAAACAAGCTCGGTTGCTGTTGACCCCTTTGTAAGAAGCTCAGCTTGTGGGTCCAATTTGGAAAATCCGCCGTGTCCCAAGAAGTTAAAGTTTGACTTGTTGTGGGTCCAATGGAATATTGCATGTTTGAACCAAGAAGTTTAAGTCCAAAGATCCAGCCAAACCGCCACGAGAACCACAGGCCTACGAACCCCAGCCTCATGCAGGCGCAGCTCAAAGGCAAAGACTCGCTTCTGCTGCCTCGGAAAAACCCACTTTTCTCTCATGTGCGTCGCATTTTAGGAATTAGTTCCGGGTCGTGATCCAATAAAGCATGGTTCTTCACCGCAAAATATATGCCTCCTTGGGGAAATCGATGGGATGCCACATGTTCCGTATGTGTCCTATGTGCGCTAGGTATCCTTCTGGAAATCCACTTACCTCTTGGATTCCAATGGCAAATGAAACTAAGCCCGTGCCTGAAACCGAGCAAACCCAAACACAGCCATGATCCCGGCCCGCTTTCCGAAAAAAAGCCTTTTGAGATCAAACCACTGGCATCTCTTGAGCAAGCCTGACCCCTTAAGGAGCCCCTAGAATTCGGACGGGTTGCCACAGTTCAATAAGCCTCATGCCTCAATGCTTCCCACGGAAACCAAAGGACACCCTTTCTTGTCTTGATGATCACGTGAAGGTAAACTCGCTCAAAGTCTAGGTGCGAACGGAGTTCGCCCATCCACAGTATGTTGTTGTTGCTGTTTTTTTTTTTTCTGGGGGGGATCCACTATACACAGCGCCACCAGGGGCAAGATGCTGGGTGCATCATGGGTCGGTCAATCCCACGATCCCGATTCAGAGGAACTACAGGGGCCAAGCCCTAACCGGGAAAGTCGATGCTTTATCAACTCCCTGGGGCCGAATGGAGGACAATGCACCATGCATTGTTCGTTTGCCGGCCAGGAGAGGAAACTGGGGGACCCTCAGCTGATTATTGCTTTTGAAGAGAGCCCAGGGTTCCTTCAATGTGTCCAGGTCCCGACACTTCGCCCTTAACACATCACCCGCACCAAGGGACACTCCCCTCTCATGGGCCAACAAAGGGATGTTTTACATCGCAAAAGGGGAAATATAGGGACCCCTGTTTAACAGGGCTCCTTATATGCCACTTGGAACATCGCTCCAAAAGGAAACTCACTTCAAGCTGGCTGAAAGGTGATGCTCAAACCACAGGCTTAAGTTCGCGGAGGTTGATCCAAGCGCGGGTTTTCCAAGGTTGCCTCAGGAACCCTAATGATCCCCGGAAACCTGCAAGGAACCCTCTAGGGCTCTGAACTGTTCACCCCCTGGTACCCCGCCTGAGGAGACCACGGCCCCGCGCGATTCCGTTCTTAGGGGACCACGGCAGCACCACAAACCTGGCAATGCCGCCAAAGGGGCCGCATGATCTCCCAGACGGCTTCCAGCGCTGGCCCGACCCACGTGTCCTGCATCACGGTAGCTCTCAGGGAAACAAAAGAAGACCAATATTTTTGGTCTCCCTCATCTTGAGCCACATTCGGTTTGGCTGACCTCGGGGCTCATTGAAAATGCTGCCCTGGAAGAGCAACTCAGCCGACATCCAAAAGGCTTTCTACCAGGAAAAAACCAAGGTCCGGTGCATTTACCCCCCAAAGTCCTGGGCCAGGTTCATAGGTGCTCATCCTTGAAAAGAAACATCTCAACTCTGAAGGGAAAATGTAAGGGACGTAGCGTTGGTCAGAATAAAAGGCTGGGACCAAAGTGGAGTCTGAAAATCAGGGGACTCGCAAAGTAGTGGTTTAGCTTCGCCCTACCTAGTGATTTAATTGGTGGTTTGGTGTTCGGGTATGGTTTCTCATTAACCCTCTAAACAAGAAACAAGGATTCAACACTCCAACTCACCAACCACCAAATGAGAGCGTTACCTGATCTTTGCTATTTGTTTAAGCCACTCGAAAAGGGCGACGTCCAAAAAACAACAACTCACACCCTCACACCCTCACACCCCACACCCCCACACCCCCACACCCCTACACCCCCATACCACCACCCCCACACCGTCCCTCACACACATGTGCATTTCCGTCACGTCCCGTCAGGGCCTCGTGGTGCTCTTGTAGGGCTTTCAATGCCCCGGCGAAGTCGGTGTTCACCGACAGGGAGAGGCGCTGGCCCCGCTTCTTCGCCGAGCGCAGCACTCGGCACACCTCGGAACGGCGTGAGAAGCATTCGACGCCTGGGGCAGCCTTGGTGTAGGGTAAGGGGTGGACTGATTTTGACGGATTGCAGGGGAATACATGGACTGATTTTAGGCGAAGAGGTGATTTTAGGGGAAGGGCTTTGTTCCAGGGGTACCTTCCATTTCCATTCTTTCCAGGCACCCTTCTTTCTAGAAATCAGAAAACCTCCGCAAACCCGTGGAAAACGGCATTGTTGTTTGAAAAGAACGACGGTTGAGAAGAATGGGGCATCAACCCCTAGATTTGTGTTCTTTTGGGGCAGAGGGAGGTGGACTGCAAACCACACCGTGGCAAAGGACCCCCTGTCTGAGGGGGCAACCTGGTGCTTCGTCGCACTACTGGAAGCTTGAAGCCCACACCTCATACAAGCGTCACTGGCTCTCCAGAGAGGAACTGGACGAACTTTCGAGTGCTGCGTTGTCTGACCAAATCTTGGAACCAGACATTGGCTTTACTTGGGGCGGTTCACCGAAAAAAGAAGAAGAAGAAAGGCCACCCTCCTTATCTAGGTCCTCCAGTAGAGAGGTTGGAACAAGGGTGCCCTTTTTTCTGCAGTCTATTTTAGTAGGGGAACCCTCCCCAAAAAAAGGGGAGAGAAGGGCACTGCTGGGGACCTAGTTATTCTCAAGGGAGATCTCAAGGATCTTCACGGCTTGTGCTCATTTCTCTCCGTTTATCGATGGCATGCATTTGCTGGCAGGGCGCGTCCTTGAGGCGGTCCTTCCGCCTGCGCTCCCGCAGGAAGTCCTGACGAGGCTAAGCAATTTGCTTATAACCCTGGCAAGGGGACTAACCCCAGCTGCCCCAGTTATAGCCATGGTTGCACCCTACTCAGTTGGTGGAACACCCAAGTTGCAAAAGGTTCCCTGAAGCATACACGAAACGAGTCAATCTCATGGACCTGCTTGCTTTGGCGATTGGCAACACCTCTCTCTGGTCTCTGGTTGGGGGAGATCTAGGACAAGCTCAAGGTCATGGCAATCGAGTGGTCAACTGCATGGAATGATGCGTTTCAGGTGCTTGGAAGAGAACCTCCGGGAAAAGAACAAGAGCCGAGTGGCAGCTTGCGGCCGGAACTGCCAAGAACTCACATCCAAACCAGCAACTGAAGGTAGGACTGGGACCTTGAATTGGAAAAAGGAATCCCGCTGCTCCAGGTTCCAGAGCAAACAGCTCAGCTCAGCTGGCATCTCCTACCCACTAACAGGATGATAGAAAATGCGACCAGACTGATGAAATGCGAGTCAGGGTGGTCCTGCTTCATCCTACTTAAGAAAAAAAAACTGGTAGTCTTTAGGGCTTCGCCACCCCCGCCCGCCTGCCCGCCGGGTCCCAGACAACAGCCCTCGGCCGTCCTGGGGCGCGTGCAGCGGGAGGGACGCGCGGACCCGATCCAGCAGCACCACCAGCTTTGAGGACTCAGAGATCTCTCCTGGAGTGGGGCTATTGCGGGGCTAGGCGGGGGTATTTGAGAAGAAACCTAGGAGAAGGCATTCATCAGGCCTTACGCGGTGAATAAATTGGGGCTAGTAGGAGCTGGAAATAAAAGGTGGACCTTTTGGGACCTATATCCAAAAATGGACCAAGTCAGGGAAACTAAAAGGTTAAAGGTCGGCTTTGGGAAAGTGAATATCTCCGGAGAAGGCCTTAATAAGGTCTTACGCGGTGAATAAAGGGGCTATTCCAAAACGCAGGATGAGGCCTTAATAAGGCCTTATTAATATTAATAAGGGATAGCCCCCTCCCCATCGCCTGTGTTAGGGGTTCATGATCTCCCGAATCACACATTCCCAAAGTTCTTGACAAATCAAAGGATCTTTGACAGGGTTGCTCCAACCAATAATGGAACCTCAAAGGGATCCGGTCGCTTGAAGGGGAAAATGGTCCAAACCAGGACCCACCGAAAGTCAGGTTGTATGTTGATTGGTGGGAGGGAACCTTCTTTCGGTTTCCCTTTGAAGGGTTGCTGAACCGCATCGCCAGGACCCGATGCAGTCGAACTCACACCACCTGAAGCCATTTTCATTGGGGCTATGTTTATTCCTGGGGTGAAGCGGTCAAACATTTGGCCACACAAACCATGTACAGGTCCGCTTGGACCGATAGATTTGGACCAATCAATTGATCACCCGGATCGCCAAGTCCCAAAAACAGCCTTTCAGGAACCCTGGGCTGTGCAAAGTCTCTTCAAAAGCCTCCAACACCTTGGTATCTCCGCTGTGGCTCCATGGGCTCGCGCAACTTGGGGTACCCGTCCGCTTGTCCGCCCGCCAGTTGTCAGCCCGCCGGTCTCAGGTCTCCCCGCTTTGGAAGAAACAAGACAGACTCTGCATGGCGACGCGACATCCCTTCGCACTCTGAAAGCACATGAGAAACCAACTGGTTTTCTGAAGGTACTTACGGGGAATCGAACCGTTGGGTTCCGGGAATCTTCGTGCTGATTGGGATTCGAATCAGGCTGAATATCAGTTTGGGCACATCGTTCTTCCGGGGGTTTGTTCGGTGGATGTCACAGAAGTTCCGGTGGAATGGACTCCCACTAAAACCAACAACGGAACATCAACCTAGCATTCCTTTCAGCAAATGGAGAACGGTACCCTCAAAACCGACACGACAAGCCAACGGAAGGCCCACAAGCAAGTGGAACATCAGAAAGAATTATTTTCAGCACATGGAAGCCCCTCCAACTTGCCTCCCTTGCCTTGCAACTCCACCGGTGCACTCTGCAATTCCAAGGCTTGCAGGTTGCACCGGTGCCACCAAAAACCCACCCCCGCCTTAGGCCCTTTCTTCATTTTTCAGCGCTCCTTGGGCGGAGACATAGCCCAACCCCAAGCTCAGGGAGCTGTGCACGGCCGCCAGCACCTCTTGGACTCCCGGGTCTCGGCTGTGGATTTCGAAGGGCGCCATGGGGTTGCCCACGCCTCGGATGTGACTCACCCGCTTCCCCGGAGTCACGTTTGTACTCGGTTGCGAAATCTGCTCCCCTGCTAAAAGTGAATAACTTTTTTTGGAATAATGGAAAACCCATTAGTTGGCACAAAGTTAAAGTCCTAACATCCAAGCAACATGCACCAAAGTTTAGAGGCCCGAACTCATCCCCAAGGTGGATGGAGGAACCGCTAAAAGCTCCAGATTCACATCCCTAAAAGCCCAAGACCTCATGGTTGGTGGTTTGTCTGGGAGTCAAAGGAGGAGCCCCTGGCACTCTTGCGGAAGGTAAATGGGAAACCACCCCTGAACCACTAAACCACCAATCCAATCACCAAAATCACCAACTAGCGGGAGGGCTGACTAACCCCTAAATGAACATGGAACGGAAAGCGCAGCAAACACAGTTTGGAGGAATTTCCAACATGTGAATTAATTCGCCTGTTTTTGATAACAACCATCTTCTTCAGAAGGCCCCTGATAAGATTGTTTGGCTTCCAGGCTCCCAGCTTCCTTTTGTGGTTGTTCCCTTGATGAAGGGTATGCCCCACTTTGGGGCCCGAAAGCTTGCACCCTGAATAAACACAAAAGAATGATGGGAACCCCAGATTTGTATATCGATCCTACACCCGCTCACTTCCACTAACAGGGACGCCCCAAAGAAGGCTCAAACAGCTCATCTCACACATTCGGACAGCAACCTTTCACCAACTAAAACCCAAAAAACCTAAGCCCACCACCTTTCACCAACGAAAAAAACCTGCAACCTGCAACCGGCACATGGCCGGTGTCGGTGAGGCGCTGATCTGCTCATCTACCAGGCTCTCCAACCACCGCGTCACCTTGGACTGCGCCACGGCAAAGGAGGCCTGTCAAGCAGGTGGGGGTTGGGTGGGGGGGGTGGGGGTGGGGGTTGGGGTGGGGTGGGGCGGGGCTGGGTAGGTCGCCCAGGACGCATCCCATCCATGGTCTATAATTATAATGGTCCTGCCCGTAAAATCATGATTGCGTCCCTTGTGGTGGTTCCAGGGCGGCAGACACCTGGGTTCATCTCCAGGCTGGGGTGTGAAGAAACCTTCACACAATTTTGGTCTTAGGAGTTGTGTTTCAGGGGTCGTTGATCGTTGGTGTGTGTGTGTGTCAAAAAATAGGCTTTCCCTTTTCTTTTCCTCTCAAAAAACCCAACTGAAAAACGCCACCCTCAAACTCAAAGACCCACACGTCCAGTCTCCAAGATTCTTTGACAGGATGTGTGGAAAAAATAAGGATTCCCTGAACCCCGCCAAAGGTAACCTGGGCTTTAAGATGGTTTCTACCCCCAAACCGAAGCTACCCGGCCGGCTTAATGGACAACAGGCCACTATGTAGCCCATCTGAAGGTATTCATCCGGGAGAGGAAAAAGTCTCTCCGGTTTCAGAGTCGCAGTGGTTTCCCTTTCGTTTAAAGCCTATAAATCCATATGTAGCCCATACGGCCATTTTCAGCGGCTGAATCATGCCTGGGGCTGCAGCGTGGTCATGGCTTCCGTGGTCTCAGCCCGGCCCGGCGCTTGAGCACCGCCGTAGGACTCCGCCATGCTAGCCTCAGAGCAACATACGTCGCTGAGGCCCAGGGCATATCTACATACATATATATATATATATATATGGTAACTTCCCTTTTCATCTAGAGACTTTGGATAGTTGGCCACATGGAAGGAGCCCCAAGACCCACGCCCCAAGATAATTTGTACAGTACTGCTTAGTGATTTCCAGGCACCCCAATTTTGAACCCAATTTTGACCATCTAGCTGCACCTGCATCTGGACATGTGACTGCCCCTTCTTCCATCTACAGCGCTTGCAAGCGCTTTGAAGCACTTTGGGATGCAAGACTCAAGATTCAAGATTCCCAGAACTCTAGATCTGGAATCTTGAATCCAGCCTGTTGTTTAGTCATCCCTTGCCCTTTGCTGACCTCCGTTGCCCGCATATGCTTTCACCTTTGTAAGATCAAGTGGCCATCATGTCAGCCACATAGCCGCCACCTCCTCCTGGCAGGATGCTAAGAGTGTCTCAGCTTCTACTCCCAGCCACAAAAATCGCAGAAATAGGTGTCCAACAAACCGGGCCCCGGGGAGCAAACCACCAATCCAAGTCACCAGTCACAGCGCGCCGCCGGTTTTGCTTTCGACGCTGCTTTACAGCCGTCGAGCCCCGATCGGGGCCCCACGCTGCAATCGGTGTTTGACCGGGGCCCGGGAGCAAACCACCAATCCAAGCCACCAATCATAGCGCGCAGCCGGTCTTGCTTAGGATGTCGCTTTGGCTGGTAAGGTGGGGCCCGACGGCTGATCGGACTCTGCCAGCGAGCCCCGATCGGGGCCCGACGGCCCAATCGGGGCCTGACCAAGACCTGGGAAGCTCCAAACTACCAATCCAACCCACCGCCGCCTTGTGAAACCCTTCTCGTGGAATCCTTGCAGTATGAAACACTTGTGGACCTTACCTCAGGACTGCGCTGTCCTCGTCTTGTGGAACCCTTTTGGAACCCTGTGCCCGCAGCCCTCGTGGAGCCCTTGGAACCCAAAGCCCACCGGGCCACGTTGTCTGACCCCGTGAGCAAGTGTTTGCAATGAAAGTGCGCTGAAAACCATTGATTTTCGGTTTTGCTTAGCGTTCCGCCCGTGAGCAAAACCCGCGTAAAACCCTGATAGAACCCTAGTTGAACCCTCGTGGAACCTTACCTCAATCCGGACCACCCCGCAGGCTCATGAAACCCTGGTGGAACCCTGGTGGAATTTTGGTGGAACCCCAAATCAACTCTGGTAGAACCCTGGTCAAACTCTGGTGCTGGTGGAAACTCTGGTGGAATTTCGTGGAACCTTACTTCAGGACTGCCCGCCACCCCGCAGCCCTTGCAGAACTTCGTGGTGAAAGTGCGCCCAAACCTTTGACTTTCGGATTTTGCTTAGTGTTCCGCCCATGAGCAAACCCTCGCTGGTGGAACCCTAGTTGAACCCTTGTGGAACCTTCGGAACCCTGATGGAACCCTGGTACGAGGGTTCCACCAGAGCTCCGGGGTGGCCCTGGGGAGGTAAGGGTTTGCAGGGTTCCACAAAGTTCCACAAGGGTCCACCGCGATTGGTTTCACCACTTCTACAGGTTCCGCAAGGGTTGTTCTACAAGGGTTTTCAAAAGGTTCTACAAGCGTTTTGCACTGGGCTCCACGAGGCTGAGGTAACGTTCTACAAGGCTCCACAAGGCCTCCACAAATTTGCTCTGGAGGTAAGCAATGCGTCCTTCGCCGTCTCAAAAGCCATTGGAGCACTAAATTGATTGCTCAGGAGATCGCCTTGCTCATGGGCGGAACACTAAGCAAAACCGAACGTTTTCAAGACACGGCCCAAAACAATAGGTGTCCGAAAGTATGTGGTTTGGGGCAAACTCCCAGATTGGGACACCTAAAAAAAAGGTTTCCAAGACGCGGCCCAAAACAATAGGTGTCCGAAAGTATGTGGTTTGGGGTGGGCAACCTAAAAAAAAAGAAGTGGTTTTCGTTCAAGACACGGCCCAAAACAATAGGTGTCCGAAAGTATGTGGTTTGGGGCGGGCAAACCCCCAGTTTGGGACACCAAAAACAAATTTTCAAGACACACCCCAAAACAATAGGTGTCCGAAAGTATGTGGTTTGGGGCGGGCAAACCCCCAGTTTGGGACACCTAAAAAAGTGTTTTCAAGACACGGCCCCAAACAATAGGTGTCCGAAAGTATGTGGTTTTGCGGTGGGCAAGCCCCCAGTTTGGGACACCTACGGCGTCTGCAAATACATGCCCGGACAGCTAAATAGGTGAACTTGTATTTTATACTAGGTCCGCAGCAGAAACGCCGGGCCCAGCCAGCAAATAAACAAAAGGAAGTTAAACTGAAGTTAAACTGGTGTTTTGTACTAGGTCCGATTGGCAAGCGCCCGGCCGGACCAGTTCACAAAACATCCGGAGTATTAAAACAGGTGGGAGTTGAAAGGTCGCATGGAGCCCAAAAGGTTGGAATCTATCTTTGGGAAGCTTAGAGAGCTCTTGGATTGGATTCTGGACATTGGCACGAAGGCTCAAGCACCGTGATGTTGGAGGGCTTGGGTTGGCGCCCTTAGGGTGGACCCGTGACTTTAGCTGCAACAATGGGAACTTAACGATGAAGGATGAGGCACTGGTAGGTTGGATGTTGAAAGGTTGGTTTTGAGCACACTTTCGCTGTATAGACTTGCTCACGGGCTCAGAGGCAAAGCAGATCAGGTTGTTGCGGGACTCAGCGCGCAGCAGAGTAAATGCTTGGCATGACTCGTACTGCTTGGCGGGCTTTGGGTTCCAAGGGTTCCGCGAAGCTGCAAGGGCTATGGGGCAGCCCTGAGGCAAGGTTCCACAGGGTTCCACAGTCCATAACAAGGGTTCCACAAGGTATCCACCAGGTTCTGCAACAAGGGTTTCACACTGAGTTCCACGAAGGTTCCAGGGCAATCGGGGCCCGACGGCCCAATCGGGGCCCGACCGGGGGCGGGGAGCAAACCACCAAGCCAAGCCACCAATCATAGCGCACTGCTTTGCTGCTAAGGGACAGCCGTCGGGCCCCTGCGCCGTCGGGGCGGGGCCCGACGCTGCAATCGAAGCCCGACCGGGGCCCGGGGAGCAAACCACCAATCCAAGACACCAGTCACAGCGCGCCGCCGGCTTTGCTTTAGATGCTGCTTTAAAGCAAACCCTGCCTGGTGCAACTCTGGTGCAACCCTGATAAAACCCTGGTGAAAGCCGCTGGTGGAACCATCGTGGAACCATCGTGGCGCCTTGCTTCAGGACTGCCCGGGCCACCCCGCAGCCCTTGCATAAACTGTGGCAGCCCTTGCAGAAGCTCGTGGAACCGTCGTGGGGCTCTGGTGGAACCCTGGTTGTGGAACCCTGGTGGAACCCACAGCCCTTGCGAACAGCTGGTGGAACCCGCCCCGGACCACCCCGCAGCCCTTGCAAGAACCGAACTCTGGTGGAACCCGCCCCGGACCACCCCGCAGCCCTTGCAGAACCTCGTGGAACCCTGGTGCAACCTTGGTGGAACCCTGGTGGAGAACCTCGTCGAACCCTGGTGAAACCTTCGTGGAACCCTGGTGGAACCCGCCCCGGACCACACCCGCAGCCCTTGCAGAACCTCGTGGAACCCTGGTCAAACCTTGGTGGAACCTTGGTGGAACCCGCCCCGGACCACCCCGCAGCCCTTGCAGAACCTCGTGGAACCCTGGTGAAACCTTGGTGGAACCCTGGTGGAACCCTGGTGGAACCTCACCTCAGGGCCGCCCCGGACCACCCCGGAGCCTATCTGGGCTCCCGTAGCCTGAATAAAAATAAGCTCAGGTGATATCCCCCAGCATGTGGAACCCTGGTGGAACCCTGGTGGAACCCTTCAGCTGTTGGGGAAAAAGAGAACAAATAACTCCCAGAAACGCCCCGGGACCATCCTTGCCGGTGTTGCTGAGGATGCCGCCTTGTAAAGCAAAGCTACGAGTGACAGCGCAATCTCGCCCTGATCGGGGCCCGACGGCGCAATCGGGGCCCGATCAGGGCGCGACGGCGCAAGCGGGGGGGGTTCGACGGCGCAATCGGGGCCCGATCGGGGCCCGACGGTGCAATCGGGCCCCGATCGTCCCGTGGTGCAACCCCAGCCACCCATAATATAGCTCAACGCCGGTGACCCTTGGCATGCGAAAGGCAACTCTATCTATAGCAAAACTAGGCGATGCCAGCTTGGTACAATTGACGGGGCCCGACTGAGTCGGGCCCCGATCGGGGCCCGACGGCGCAATCGGGGCCCGATTGGGGCCCGGCGCAATCGGGGCCCGATCGGGGCCCGACGGTGCAATCGGGCCCGTGGTGCAACCCCAACATGCGGATTGCAAGTGCATCTATAGCAAAACTAGGCGATGCCAGCTTGGTACAATTGACGGGGCCCGACTGAGTTGGGCCCCGATCGGGGCGCGATGGCGCAATCCGATCGGGCCCAAAGGCCCCGACAGTGCAATCGGGCCCCGACCTACCCAGTGAACCTCGCAAACCGTTCTCACGCAACTTTCGTGGAGCTCAGCGTGAAACTTTGCTGGAACCTTTCCTCAGGGCTGCCGCATAGCTTTTGCAGAATTTGGTGTTTGACCTCATAGCCCTCGCAGCCTCGTGGAATTCTTGGAACCCAAAGCCCACCAAGCAGCAATGCCAAGCATTTACTCTGCTGCACCGTGAGTTCCGCAGCGACGTGATCTGATTTGCCACAAAGCCAACATTTGCCTGAGCAAGTGAGCACACAAAACAGTGAAAGTGTGCCAAAAACCATTGATTTCGGTTTTGCTTAGTGTTCCGCCCATGAGCAAAGCGATCTTGATCCGATGGCTTTTCAGACGACGGGCGCACGACACACCCTTGGTGGAGCATTGTGGAGCCTTGTGGAACCCGTGTGGAATCCTTGCAGAGCTTTGTGGAACCCTGTGAAACCTCAGGGCCCACAGCCCTCGCAGAATCTTGTGGAACCCTGAAACGCAGCCCTCGCAGAACCTCGTGGGACCCTGCTAGACTGGAACCTTACCTTTCAAAACCTGTGGAATTCTGGTGGAATTCTCATGGAACATTACCTCAAACCAGCCCGGACCGCTGGTGGAACCCTAGTGAAACCCTGGTGGAACCCTCGTGGAACCTTCCCCGGACCACCCTCGTCCGGAGCACGACGGGCTGGTGGAACCCTGGTTGGAACCCTCGTGGAACCGGTGGAGCCCTCGTGGAACCTTACCTCAAACCACCCAGACCAGCGGAACCCTCCTCAAACCACCCCCCGGACCACCCTGCAGCCCTGGCGGAACCCTTGTGAAACCTGCCTCAACCGCATCAAAGAAATTGGTGGAACCCTGATGGAACCCTCGTGGAACCTTACCTCAAACCAGCCCAGCCGCCGGAAGCCTGGTGGAACCCTGGTGGAACCCTGGTGGAACCCCTGGTGGAACCCTGGTGGAATTTAGCTCAGGGTTGCCCCGAACCACCCCGGAGCCTATCTGGTCTGAGACCCCAAAGCTTTCAGCTGTTGGGGAATAAGCTCGGGCGATATCCCCAACCGTGCAATCTGGCCCGGTGAACCTCGCAAATCGTTCATGCAACTTTCGTGGAGCTCAGCGTGAAACTTTGTTGGAACCTTTCCTCAGGGCTGCCCCATAGCTTTTGCAGAACGTGGTGGAAACCTTGTGGAACGTTTTTGGAACCTTACCTCATAGCCCTTGCAGCCTCGTGGAATTCTTGGAAGCATCCTCCTCTGCTGCACCGTGGGTCCCGCAGCGACGTGATCTGATTTGCCACAAAGCCAACATTTGCCTGAGCAAGTGGGCAAGTCAGAAAACAGTGAAAGTGTGCTAAAAGCCATTGATTTCGGTTTTGCTTAGTGTTCCGCCCATGAGCAAAGCGATCTGGCTTTTCAGACGATGGGCGCACGACACATTGCTTCCCTCCACGAACCTTGCAGAACACTTCTGGAACCCTTGGTGGAACATTGTGGAGCCTTGTGGAACCCGTGTGGAATCGTTGCAGAACTTTGTGGAACCCTGTGACACCTCAGGGTCCGCAGCCCTTGCAGAGTCTCGTGGAGCCCTGAACTCATAGAACCTTACCTCAAAGCACTCCGGGCCACCCCGCAGCCCACGCAGAACCTTGTGGAACCCTGCTAGAACCGTGCTGGAGACTTCATGGAACTGGTGGAATTCTCTGGTGGAACCCTGGAACCTTCCTCAAACCAGCCCGGACCCCGCAACCCTCGAAGAAATTGGTGGACCCTGGTGGAACCCTCGTCCGGAGCACAAAGGGCTGGTGGAACCTGGTGGAACCCTCGTGGAACCTTGTTTGAAACCACCCCGGACCAAGCCCTTGCAGATTGTGGAACCCTGGTGGAACCCTGGTGGGAATCTGGTGGAACCCTGGTGGAACCCTCGTGAAACCTTCCTCAAACCAGCCCGGACCACCCCGCAGCGCTTGAAGAAATTGCTGGAACCCTGGTGGAACCCTCGTGGAACCTTACATCCCGGACCACCCTGCAGCCCTGGTGGAACACTCGTGGAACCACCCCGGACCACCCCGCAGCCCTCGCAGAAACCCTGGTGGAACCCTGGTGGAACCCTGGTGGAACCCTGGTGGAACCCTGGTAAAACCCTGGTGCCTGGTGGAACCCTGGTGGAACCTCAGCTCAGGGTCGCCCCGAACCACCCCGGAGCCTATCTGGGCTGAGACCCCAAAGCTTTCAGCTGTTGGGGAAAACTTATGCTGCGTTTGAAAACCATTGTTTGTTGGTATTTGTGTTGGGGAATCGGGATTCTGAACGGTGCGAGGCTCGCGGATTCCGCAACCATCCACTGGGTCGTCTTCTTAAAGCCACATTGTGGCTTCCCTTTGAAAGAACCAAGACAACACAAATTGCACCCCCTAGACTAGAACAGACTGATGTGCGTTTTTAGAGCAAATCGATGGCCCTGTTACATGACTAAACCACCAGGAATCGCGAGCTATTTTTCCACCAAAACAACCAAGAAGGACACCTATCTTCCATTTGCTTTAAGCCCCCTGGAAAAAGTAAACATATTTCCAGTAGTGATAAATTCCCTTTAAAACCAACAGGGAGAAATCCCACATCTTCATTTCAGCAGATGGAAGCTATGCAAGTCCTCGCATCTGCTGGAAGGGCAGGGGGTGGATGACGGCATCCTCCAGCATCGCCCAGATCTCCGCGCGAAGGCCTCCGCTCCACCGCCGGATGAAGTCCTTGGCCCAAAGGAGCCCGTGAAACTTGATTTGATCTCATGGGCAGGGGAGGAGAAGTGGAATGACCCCAAGAAAACCATCCTATGGATTCCTTTAAGGGAACCCCCTGCCGGTTCATTCTCAAAACCCTGAGCATCCTTAGACAGATTGAGAACAACTCTCAGAAGGAGCTGGGGTAAACCAAGAACAAATGTGAATACCTGGACCCTCAAAATTCCACTGCAAAGGTGGTACAGTACTTTCCCCAACATGGGATGAATCCGCCGGCACTGCCGGCGTGTCTTGTGGATGTTCTTGTATGTGCAGTCTTGTTTGTGCTTTAGTGCTGTGTTGTAGAATTGTTCTTCGGCGCGGATTTTTGCCTCGTCTAAACTGACTTGGTCTATGGCATTGTTGTTCAACTTCAAGTCTGTGACGAAGCTGCGCAACTCAGACAAGACCCCAACTGCACCCCTGGAAGTAATTCTGTTTTCATCCAAGTTCAAAGCATCAAGCGTGGAGCGTGTTGCTCGAAGTAGGTTGAGCAGCTCGACCAGAAATTCGTCGTCAAGGTCATTCTTTGAAAGGTCCAGGGCACCAACAAGTCTTGTACAGCCAAGGCCCCGTAGCCCAAATAGAACTTGCACGCACCTTTCGGAACTCTGACGCCTTGCAGCATGTGTACCAGCACTCCACCGAGACCCTTTCAAGCAGACCTGCGCGCGAAATGATTGACATCCTTCAGCCTCCGTCACTTGACAAATCTGCTCCAGGATCAACTTTGGATCCGCCCCAAATTTATCATACCTGCTTGCTGCTATTCTCAAAGTGCCGTCTTCAAACCATGCTTTCACTCCCCCGCTCTTTTCTGGCAGCTGTGAATGTGAATCGTCCTCTGGCCTGTCCTCAACATCCGATCTCCCAAACTCTGCTTTCACCCGCTTGGCAGTCTGCAAGTGCGTAGCTTTGTTGGGTCCGGCGATGAAAACTTCTGGGATGCCCTCGACCCTTCCGAAATGCTCCCAGCAATTCGCCGCCGCAGCCCAAGACCGCCTCGGGGACCTCCTCCTAGCTCATGCCGATGTAGCCTCTGACCTCGGCCTTCTTCTTCTTGCGGTAGTCTTCCGTAGTCTTCCGGCTTCTTCCCGTAATCTTCCGTCGTCTTCCGGCTTCTTCCCGTAGTCTTCCGTAATCTTTCCGGCTTCTTCCCGTAATCTTCCATAGTCTTTCGGCTTCTTCCCGTAGTCTTCCGTAATCTTCCGGCCTCTTCTCCTAGTCTTCCGATAGTGTTTCGGGACCAAACAACGCGCGTTAGGACTCAATCGCTATGTCCGTCTACGTATCTGCGTCTGTCTTCGTGTCCGCGAAGAGCCCCCCCTGCCCCTGCGTGTCTGTCTGCGTGTCTTTGTGTTTGTCTGCGTCTGTCTACGTATCTGCGTCTGTCTACGTATCTGCGTCTGTCTTCGTGTCCGCGAACGGGTCTGTGCACGCGTGCTTTCTCTCGTCCCGGGCCGAAATTCTGAGGTGTGTGGGGGCGGCGGAACCAGGCACAACACCCAACACCCAACACAACCTTAAGCACAAACACAAGCGCAAGCAAGTAAGCGAGATCACGCGTGCTTGCTGCGCTTGCGCTTCGATTGTCTTAAGCTTAAGCACAAGCGCACGTAAGTAAGTGAAATCGCGCGTGTTTGCTTATGCTGCGCTTGCGCTTCGCTTGTCTACACTTCAGCGGGGCGTGGGGCGGGGAGGGGTGGGGGGGGGAGGGGGGGGTGAGGCCCCACTGCCGGGGTGCCTGTGGTAGTAGAGGTTGTTGATTTGGTCCCTGGATCTATTCCGGAGAGAGTCCAATATGCCAATATGGAGGATTGGAGGATGGATTGTCCCTGGTGGCTTGTCTGCTGCCGATCCAATTGTCTTCTAGGATGTCTGGATTTCCACCTTCGGATGCATCAATGATTTCCGTAGTACGCTCTCGGCTGATATTATCAGGATTGATTGGACATTCCTTGGCTCCATTTGGTGTGAACAACGCCTTGCGAGGCGTTATGTGCACACGGATGAGCTGCTTGTTCTTCTTGTCAAGGATCCAATGGTCCCGCTTCTGAGACCCAACGATTTTAGGAGTTGCTAGGTCCTCCTTCGTCTCAAATGATTTTGCTGCACAAACAGTTTCACTCTTGGAGATATCCCCGGAGGGAAACTTGATCATCGTAGACGTAGTTGGTGAGGCCCTTATGAGCAATTTCTCCGTGCCTTCACTCTTGCAACTCCAGCGAGATCGACGAGTGCATGTCCTGTACCGGATACCGGAACTGCTTGACGGTTCATGCCAAAAGCCTTCCATGTGATCTTGTCACATTGAGGTGTGTGCTGGATGGTCATGTAGAGGTTCCGCATCTGACTGATGCTGAGGAGGATCAGTACAGTTCCTTGTTCAAGGACGTCGATGTTGGTACTGCGTGGAGGAGTTGTGTGATATCGAAGGCGCAGGGTCCAATTTACCCTGGCGGTCTCTCCGTTTGCAAAAGTGAACTTGGTCTCGGCACGGGATGTACTGATAGGAGATGATGTCCTTCATGGGTTCGATGGCCTGAGTAAAACGCTGGATTGCATGCCAGCTGCCAATGGATCTGGTACATCCGTTGTCCAGGATCGCATAGGTCGGATTGCGCTGAGGGTTGATGACAGGCGCCATCAGCTTTGTTGCCAAAAGGCTGTGATTTGTTGTAACGGACAAATTGTGTTCTGAAACTGCATCTGATTGGATCAGCTTCCCGTGGATGGCCTCTTTCTCATGATGCTCATATGCGTCATGGAATGCCATTAGCGCTTGTCCTGTGCTGTTCATTCCATGTCCATGATTGATCCCAATCTTGGTCTGTCCAACCGGCATAGGTAGGCTCTGTGGATGGTGCAGTCTGCTGGATGGCGGGCTGCTCCTCCGTCTTCTCTGCGATGGCTGCGAACGTCTTGGATTTTCCTTTGTCATGTCCGCCTTTTCCTTTGCCATTCTCATAGGGTGGATAACCCTTGTTTCCATCATAGGGATATTGGAATTTTGATGTTCCTTTCTTTCCCTTCTTTCCTTTGCCTTTTCCCCTATATGCCGGGTCGTAGGGATTGGCCTTCCCGCCAGAACCGCTTTTTTCTGAAGGGTTTAAAGCCACCTCGTTGGTGACTGCCCTTTTTGTTTCCTGATTGTCCTTTTCCTTTTCTCTTCTTGAATCTGAAATTCCGCCCTGACACTTTTCTTGCTATGAACGCATCGTTCTCCTCGAGGACCCAGAATGTCTCTTCATCGTTGTTTCACATGAATCCTTCAAGTCCTTCTTCATCCTCAACCCAAAAGCCTTCTTCTCCTTCGTATTCACCTTGTTCGATGATGAAGAGTGTGTTGCTTCGGTTGCCTCCTTGAGGTCGGATGGATGGATCTTGAATGGATGTCCTGGTCGTGATGAAGAGTTCATGGTAGTGCGTCTTCAGCATCTCATAGGAGTAGTTCTCTAGTGAAATTTTTCTCAATGACATTGCACTTGTCAGTCTTTCTCTCTGCTGATCTGACAATTCACTCTGTATAATGAAAAACTGCGCAATGAGATTATCCTTGAAGGGAAATGCGTCCCGCTGTCTGTCCTGCATTCCCGTGATATACTGTCTGAGGACTGTTGGATCATCCTCATTGCGCAGGACTGGAGGCGGTACTCGGGTACCAGCAATTGTTCTTGCATTTGCGTCCTGTACGGACTGTCGAAATGATGAGACTGTGCCGTGAAAACGGGCATCAAGTCCATCCATGCTGCCTTCAATCTCATGAGAAGGATTTCGAATTTTGATGTAAAAATGAGGAACTCTTGGTCTGCCTTCTATGATTGAAGAAACTGAGGAGCCTGTACAGATACACGTTGGTCGCACCTTTCAATAAGTACTTCTTCAGCGTGTTCTTGAAGTGGTTGACTCCTTCATCAGGATCTTGCAAAAGGTCATTTTGGAGGACTGCCTTTGTACATATAGGCATCTCCTGTGAGTCTGCTCTTGAGCAGAGGTCCTCTCTTGGGTGCTTCCACCGTAGTGATTGTCACCCAGTCGTCCACGAGTTCTTCATACCTAAACCAGCTGACTTTTCCGTCGTACGATGGCGGCTGCTTGGCGGTCATCGATAAATTGAGTGTTTCCTCCGTATAGCCTGATGGTTTGGCCATACTTGAATAGGCTTCCATGAAGCCTTCTCCATCGGATGACATCCTCCCTCCGCTACCACAAATTGAGGCCCACTGCCGGGGTGCGTATCCCAGAAGGGAACTGGTACCCTGTGGTAGTAGAGGTCGTTGATTTGGTCCCTGGATCTATTCCGGAGAATCCTGTAAAGCGGTCTGCAAGCCTTTTTTATCAATGTACCATGAGTCGAATGACTGTACAAATGACTTGAAGGGCCTTGAGCCATGTCAGCGGAGTGTGTGCATAGGTCAATGTGCAACAAAAAGCAACACAGGGGGGAGGGGGGGGAGGGGGGTCGAGCGTGGCTAAAGCTGCACTTTGGTACGGTCATCTGTCTAAGGAACTTCTAAGGATGGCTCTAAAGATGAGCCCGTGCTTGGATGGGACCACTTTTTGCTTTCTGTCCTCTGCAGTCATGGGTCTTACCCTATTGCGTGACTGTGCAACTGATGCTACCAGACACGGCTGTAGCGCTCATGCTTTATTCTATTGTCCTTTACTCCCGGACAGCCTGAAGCCGCGGGAGCCGGCGGAACACGCCAACGGCGGTTAAATTCCTTTTTTATGGGTAGTTTGAGGGTCCAGGCAGCAGTTACCCCGCGGTTGCTGTGGTTCCGCTTTTCCAGGAAACCGCCGAAAGCCGTCACAAAAAGGGCCGTGCCCAAAGCGCTTGCAAATCAAAGGTTGGGTTTTGGGGGCGTGCCGGCGTGGTGCAAAAACTTGTTCCTGGAGAATGTCTGGGTTGGCGGAGCTGGGATTTCCTCACGCCAACACAGAGGCCCAAAGACCCAAACCCCAAACCATAGGTCCTCCAGTAGCACCCTTTCTTCTGTGGTCTATTTTAGTAGGGGAACCCTCCCAACCAAAAAGGGTGAGAAAGGGCACCTAGCTGGGGGACCCAGACCGCAGACCCTCGCCTGGCCCTTGCCGCTGTTGTACAAATCCGCCACATGGGCGTCCGCCGCTAACACCAAGCGCCGCAGCTGTCGCTTCAGGTCTTGCTGCTTGCCACTGGAGGTAGCCTGGACCAAAAGGGGAATGGTCGGCTTCATCCATCGCTCTCTTAAACAAACCACCAATGTTTCCTTCAGTTTCGCCCATTGAAAAAGAAAAAACTGAATAGAGAATGGGTAAGGTGCCCTTCGTGCCAGCTCCTTTCCCGCACAATCGCTGAGAGTCGAGTCTAATCATTTGGAGCATAAAAAATGCCATCTGTTTCCAAAGGCTCCGAACCAAAGACCCGTCATGTTTTCACCCCAAAATCACTCCCTTCAAGTCGGGCCTTCAAACACCCCCCTCTCAAGGTTTGCTTGGAGTCACCTGATCCAACATCACCCCAACTCGCCTTCTGGCCGAGAAGGCGATGCTTTGAAAGGAGCAGCCAAGACGGAGCTTCGGTCAATCAAAAAACCCTGGCCCACACCATCCCACACCCATGCTCCGCCGAGGGCGAAACCAAGTCCGAAACTCTGCTGGGCTTCCAGCCACTTGCCGAACACTCTCTTCATATTATTTGAACCGCCCCCCCCTTGGGGCCATCGCCTACGAATTCTCATTTCTCTAGAGATGAAGGCCGGCAAACTCCAAACCGGGCCGGTGTCGAGTTATCAGTTCTTGGTTCATCAGTGGTCAGGAGCCCAAGAGCAGAAAAAAAGGGGGCCTTGGACCCCGGTTTTGGGCCCCTAGCAAATTTAGTCAAGAGCAAGATGCAAGATGTTCCGAAACAGTTGGCCCAGGAATCAGGCTCTTTCCGGTGACCGACAACGGGTTTGCCCGGCCAACCGCCGCTTTTCACTGGCTTCACTGCTTGACTGCTCCACGACTTAGCGTGGCAAACTTTGAAAGGTGCACTATGGTGCACTTGCACATGTCTTATGGGTTGACTCCGCAGTCGTTCCCGCTATTCTTCTCACATTTCAGCATTTGTGGTTGTTGGTTAATCCCTGGAAGTCAATGAGTTTGACCCGAAATGAACAAGTCTTGCAATCAGGATGACTTGTCGCGTCATCATCATGCATGCATCTGGGCAAATTATGATAATCCACAGGCCGAACGGAATCTTCTTGATAGCTGATTTCGCACACCCAGCTAGTGACTATAATTTGCCCAGAATCTAATTTCACCTGCGGACAAACAAAATCCGCACCAGGCACCTTTTGGAAATTGCAGTACGAAAACAAGCACCTACGGTTTGTCCACCTTACCTGGTGCAGGAGTTTGTCCACGGTAAGCTCTTGGTTTTGGGCCTAAGCACCCCGAACAGATGGGGTTCGAAACACCGAGCACAGCGGCCCCAAGGTTCCATGGTCGAAATTGTCCGATGGTTTGCCCCCAGCACTCGGGAGTATTTTTGCGTTGCCGCCTTCCCCCTTCTCCCATCCCAGAAATTCCGATCAAACCTCGACACTGCTCGTCTGGGCTCAAGGCGAAAAGGCATGGCTCTCTGACAAAAAGTATCGACACCAGGCGGTCGGCTTCCAGGGGCGTTCCAGGCAGGTGTAACGTGATTTACCAACGGACTTGAGGACCGTGAGAGTCTTGCTGAACTCACCCATTCTGGTAACCAGGACATCTCCTCTGGTTGTTCTATTGCGCGCTGTTCTTGGTTACCTGGCGATGATGCATGCATCTGGGCAAATTATGATAATCCACAGGCCGCGCGGAATCTTCTTGATAGCTGATTTCGCACACCCAGCTAGTGACTATAACTTGCCCAGAATCTAATTTCACCTGCGGACAAACAAAATCCACACCAGGCACCTTTTGGAAATTGCAGTACGAAAACAAGCACCTACGGTTTGTCCACCTTACCTGGTGCAGGAGTTTGTCCACGGTAAGCTCTTGGTTTTGGGCCTAAGCACCCCGAACAGATGGGGTTCGAAACACCGAGCACAGCGGCCCCAAGGTTCCATGGTCGAAATTGTCCGATGGTTTACCCCCAGCACTCGGGAGTATTTTTGCGTTGCCGCCTTCCCCCTTCTCCCATCCAGAAATTCCGATCAAACCTCGACACTGCTCGTCTGGGCTCAAGGCGAAAAGGCATGGCTCTCTGACAAAAAGTATCGACACCAGGCGGTCGGCTTCCAGGGGCGTTCCAGGCAGGTGTAACGTGATTTACCAACGGACTTGAGGACCGTGAGAGTCTTGCTGAACTCACCCATTCTGGTAACCAGGACATCTCCTCTGGTTGTTCTATTGCGTGCTGTTCTTGGTTACCTGGCGATGATGCATGCATCTGGGCAAATTATGATAATCCACAGGCCGAACGGAATCTTCTTGATAGCTGATTTCGCACACCCAGCTAGTGACTATAACTTGCCCAGAATCCAATTTCACCTGCGGACAAACAAAAGCCACACCAGGCACCTTTTGGAAATTGCAGTACGAAAACAAGCACCTACGGTTTGTCCACCTTACCTGGTGCAGGAGTTTGTCCACGGTAAGCTCTTGGTTTTGGGCCTAAGCACCCCGAACAGATGGGGTTCGAAACACCGAGCACAGCGGCCCCAAGGTTCCATGGTCGAAATTGTCCGATGGTTTACCCCCAGCACTCGGGAGTATTTTTGCGTTGCCGCCTTCCCCCTTCTCCCATCCAGAAATTCCGATCAAACCTCGACACTGCTCGTCTGGGCTCAAGGCGAAAAGGCATGGCTCTCTGACAAAAAGTATCGACACCAGGCGGTCGGCTTCCAGGGGCGTTCCAGGCAGGTGGAACGTGATTTACCAACGGACTTGAGGACCGTGAGAGTCTTGCTGAACTCACCCATTCTGGTAACCAGGACATCTCCTCTGGTTGTTCTATTGCGTGCTGTTCTTGGCTCCCGGTTGGGTTGTCATCTGGCACGGAAAGAAGTTCTTTGCCCGGTCTGGCAGAATGAAGGCGCCTGAGTTCATGAAACAATCCCTTTGAGGAATGTTTCAGGTTCCTTTTGTGTTCCCGGCAACGGGGTACCTGCCGCTTCACTGCTTGGCTGCTACAAAGCTGCCCCGACGCGTGGCAAAATTTGAAAGGTGCACTTGCCGATGTTTTATGGGTTCTACTCCGCAGTCGTTCCCGCTGTTCTTCTCACATTTCAGCATTTGTGGTTGTTGGCTTTCTGGCAAAAGTAATCCCTGGAACTCAATGAGTTGACCCGAAATGAACAAGTCTTGCAATCAGGATGACTCGTCGCGTTCAAACCTGGAGGCCCAATTGATACAGAAATGTTTGCTCGAGTGTTTTTCGCAGAAAAAATGCCCGAAACGTTCCTGGGAGCCAGCGACTTGGCGCTAGCGTCGTGACCAGAATTGGGCAGTTGTTGAAATTGCGCTCGGTTGCACGGATTTGCGCCCGAGTTGCTCGAAATTGCGCCCGTAAGTTGCGCCGAACTGCGCTCGAAACGCGGTGCGCATTTCGGGCCAAGCTGTTTTCAACACTGTTCGTTTCCAATCGGGCAGAAACATGCGGTCGAACTCCGAAAATGCAATTCAGCACTTTTTTCAGTGTCAATTGGGCCTCCAGGAACATGACCATGCCGCAGCACATCATCATGCATGCATCTGGGCAAATTATGATAATCCACAGGCGGAACGGAATCTTCTTGATAGCTGATTTCGCACACCCAGCTAGTGACTATATAATTTGCTCAGAATCTAATTTCACCTGCGGACAAACAAAACCCACACCAAGCACCTTTTGGAAATTGCAGAATGTAAACAAGCACCTACGGTTTGTCCACCTTACCTGGTGCAGGAGTTTGTCCACGGTACGCTCTTAGTTTTGGGGTCTAAGCACCCCGAACAGATGGGGTTCGAAACACCGAGCACAGCGGCCCCAAGGTTCCATGGTCGAAGTTGTCCAATGGAGTACCCCCAGCACTCGGGAATATTCGGGCTCATCCCCTTGTGTTTTGCAGGAAATTCACAGGATTTTGTGTTTGCTGGGTTGCTGCCTTCCCCCTTCTCCCATCCAGAAATCCTGACCAAACCTCGACACTCTGGGCTCAAGGCCAAAAGGCAGGGCTCTCTGACAAAAAGTACTGACGCCAGGTTCGGCGCCCAGCGGCATTGTGCCGAGCGCTTGCCTCACCACCAACGGCCTTCAGCATTTTGCCCATTTGCTTTTCCGACCTTCTCTGGCCTCTGGGCCGGCTTGATCTTGCGGCACAGCTTGTATATCTGGTCTGGCTGGATAAAGAGTCCGGCCGTTTAGGGTTCGCTGCTGGAGCACTTGCTTCGCCTTCTGAAAGTTGGGTGGCTCTAAGTTCAGCGCAAGAACGGCATAGCTACCATTGTCCATGGCTTCGGTTTCAGGGACTGAGGCTTGGAGGGTGCCGGGCTGAGCCGGGCGCGATGCACGTTGCACAGCACTTGCGCAAGGCAAAGCGGATAGGGAATCAGGCTCGTTCCGGTGACCGACAACGGGTTTGCCCGGCCAACCGGCGCTTTTCACTGGCTTCACTGTTTGGCTGCTCGAGGCAAACTTTAAAAGGCGCACTTGCACATGTCTTATGGGTTGACTCTGCAGTCGTTCCCGCTATTCTTCTCACATTTCAGCATTTGTGGTTGTTGGCTTTCTTGCAAAAATCCTTGCTGGAAAGAAAGGAGTTACACCGAAACAAGTCTTGCAATCAGGATGACTCCTCGCATTCTTTTTCACTTCTCGTTTAATAATGCATACCAGAACCCTCGAAATTCCCCTTAAACATGTTTTTGCCACCCAACATGCTTTGTGAATTCCCTCCTCATGTCCGGGTAGATGTACTGCAGCAACTTTAACCTGGGATTCAACCCCCTAAAAAAGAATGGTTGACCCAATTTGGATGCTTAGGATAAAAACTTTGGTTGCATTTACCCCCGTTGTGGCAACTGAACCCAGGGTTTCAGCAGGTCCTTGCCTGCAGGCGAGCCTTCTCAAAGGCCACCACTGTGCTGTAGAAGCTGCTGCCCTGCAGGCCCTCGCGCCCATTTTGGGCGCCGGCCCCGGGTTTTTCTGGCCGGCCCCCGTTTTGGTTTGCTTTTTAAAGCGGGTTATGGCATGTTTCCTCATTTTGACCCAGTGGACCAGAGGCATTTTCCAAGGATCCCAGTCGTTTTGATTCTATAGTAGGGTACCCTTCGCTACTTTCCTTCTCGTTCTTCCAAAGGGTTGGTCACGTACCATGCAGGCAAATGGATCTGCTAGGGGCTTGTTGTTCAAGGTCTGGTTATGTTGTATACGACCCGGCATAGCGTGCAGCTCGTATCGTTCTAGTATAGCATTTCAATCATCAGACCATGGCAGGGAAGCCCGCTGATGAATGTGGTACCATTCGTGCAAGGTGCCCGGCTTGCCATTATTCCACCTCCAGATTCAATCAAACCTGCTCTGTTGCACCATGACGTGCTTGATGGCAGTCCCAAAGACGCCTTTTGCGAACATCACTCCTTGTACAAAGTAGCCCATATGATGCATCCCCAAGACAATACTTTCTCACTTGAATGTGGCTCCATTTCAACATTGTGGTTACGAGCACCAATTGTGGTTACGGTCTCCTAGATCAATTTCAAGAAGATCCAATGATGTTCCACTACTGGATGTAGAGACTACTGGATGCCTCTGGTAAATAGGTAGGCAGTGGTTGTCCCTGTGAGCGTACCGCAAGGTTCTTTTTTTGTGCGGAATCAGCGTGAACAGAAGGAAGGCCTTGAGCCGAAATGGTTGGGGGAAATCAACGGTGCAGACACAAATTCTTTTGGTCTTCCACACTAAACTACATATAAGGATATATATTTCATATTGAATTATTGAGCTCACCTTTAATGGGATCGGATTTTGATCGTCCGTGAAATAGAAAATGTATACAGGCGCAACGCAGGTTGAAATGGAATTCGCTCAGTGTGTGGCTTTCTTGAGAGTGACAGGTGATGTTCCTGCCTTGCTGGAGTTGGGCATGATCTTGAGTTGTGCCTTCATTAACAAAAAAGAACTTGGTCCGTAGGAGATGAGCTTCTTCATTACTTTGATGCTATTTGTCAAGGACTTCCTCGTACATGTAGGCATCTCCCATGCTTTTGAGGAGAGCTCCTCTCTTGGATGCGTCAATCGTGGTGAATGTCGTTCAACCATCCACAAGTTCCTCATATCTGAGCCAGCTGACTTGTCCGTCGTACGATGGCGGTCATCGATAAATTGAGGGTCTAGCGATGCCGACTGCTCGGCCTGCATTGCAATAGGCCTCCATGAAGCCTTCTCCATCGGATGACATCTTGATTTGGATCTTCTGAAATACCTGCTCCGCTACCGCAATTGAGTCTAAAACTGGGGGTGCTTGATCCCTAAACAGGGAGAACCAATTGTGGTTATGTTCTCGTTATGGCCCCTGGATCTATTTCAAGAGGATCCAATGATGTCCCAATAATGGATGTAGAGACTAGTGGACGTCTCTCTTAAATATGTATGCAGCGGATGTCGTTGTGAGCTCCGAAGGGAGGCCTTGAGCCGAAATTGTGGGAAGATCAATGCTGTAATGCGAAGCACACACCAACACACACACAACACAACACAACACAACACAACACAACACAACACAACACAACACAACACAACACAACACACACACACACAACACAACACACAACACACACACACAACACACACACACAACACACACACACACACGCACGCACACACGCACGCACGCACGCACGCGCACACACACACAAACACGCACACACCAACACACACACACACAAATACATACAAACACACGCACACACACACACACTTACAACCACACACAAAGACAAACAAACAAACAAACAAACAAACAAACAAACAAACAAACAAACAAACAAACAAGCAAGCAAGCAAGCAAGCAAGCACGCACGCACGCACGCACGCACGCACGCACGCACGCACGCACGCACGCACGCACACACACACACACACACACACACACACACACACACACACACACACACACACACACACACACTCGCCCCCGTTTCTACCCAGCTGTTGCCCAACCACCCCCCCCCCCCCGAGTTGAGTTCGCCCCCCGAGCTCGCGAGGTCCTGGCCAGCCCCCATCAACGGGCCGAACATGTCGAAGAGGCTCTGCGCCAAAGTGAAGGCGCGGATGGAGGACACCGCCCGGCCCAAGGCCAAAGGGTCCTTCCAGATGCGCCGAAAGCGGCGTCGAAATCGTGTGAGGGACCTGGACCCTCAAAGGACCCACGAAAACGGAATTCACCACCCGTAATTTTTGGGGCACTCACCCCGCTACCATTTTTAAGGGAATTTGGAGGGTTCAGGTAGACTGAATGAAGCCCAAGGCTTGGGAAAATGAGACGCGTGTGTTGAAGTCAACCTTGGGATACCTGACAGACAGGACATGAAGAAATAACCACTAATCATCCACTGTGGCTCCTCGGGGGATCCCTGTGCAGACGTCTGGAAAGATGTGGTCTTCCTTTTTGCTTCACTTCAAATCAGGGTGAAGAGGGTACCTGCAAAAACACACACACACAGACACATCAAACTGTCAAGACCACATGAAAGAGGAGATGAATCCCCAAGCGAAGGACCTTCATGGATCGGCTCCGACTCGGCGACGTTGGAATCGCGCACAAATCCATCTGGACAAGTCGAAAAATGTCCGGTTGGTGGACAAACTCAACCAACCCGGAATCACCGGTAGATGGTCCATACATCTTCCCGTCCGGGTGAACTCCCCAGTCAGTAAATCCTCGGAAAGCCATCTGGAACCCTTCACCACCGAGGCTGCAAGATCCCGGACTTGCATCTATGCCCATGGACCCCATGAATGGCCTATGGTAGATGGACTGCCTTCCAACATGAAAGCTCCGAGATGGAACGTCTTCTAAATCTTTTCTGGAAGGATCTGTGTTGGACTGAGCTTGGTTGCTGCCACAACCCCTCTGCAAAAAGTGAAAAGCGGTTTGTTTGCCCAATGTGGAAGATCCACTGGTTCCCAAACAGTTGAAGTCCAAAGACCCAACCAAATAGCCGTGAAGTGAAAGAGGGTCATCCGAAAGCAGTCGCCAAAGAGGCATATCACAACGGGGTCATGCTCTCACTCACAAAACGGGGCCTGGAGGAGAGAAACTCAAACCATGACAGCCACAACTGGCGATCCAGGTTTGTATTCTTCCAGTTTTCAGGATTCAGCGTTCAAACTTGGAACTCCCGAGCCGTGAAAAAATATGCTGGTGATTCAGGATGCGCAAAAACAAATAAACATTTCCCGTTGAAGGCGGCGCCCTACAAAACCGCCTGCGTAACCCATCCCGCCCACCGTCCCAAACCGAAAAACGCCAAGCATTTTCCGTGAGAACTCTGTGGTCCGGAGGTCCTGTGATGGCTTTTGCGCCTTTGGGAGTTGGGTGGCTCTTTTGGAGTCGGTACCCAAACACCTTTGGTGGTGACCAAGGAAAAACCAAAAGGAAAAGCTAGTTGCGCCATTTTTTTGGTGGGGGGGGGGGGCGACGGCGGGCATGGCCCACACTTTTCGAGTCCGAAAGGAGTCAGTCACTTCACGTGGGTTGCACTCTGGCTTCGCCAGTTGCGGAACTTGATACCTTCCATCTGCGTCTTTGAGATTCCACCCGCGTCATGGCCTCGATTTGCTAAAGTGGCCTGGAAAAAACAAACATATTTCCAGTAGTGATAGATTCCCTTGAAGACCAACAGGGGGGGATTAAACATACCAGTATTATTAATGTTGGACCTCCTGTATTAATAGTACTCTCTACTGTGGCAACATTTTGTTTTAATTCAGAATCGTTTGGCTGTTATAGAGGTCCTCTATCATGGAAAGTTTTTTTGCCGGAAACAACGCTAGGAACATACGGGCAAACAAACTTGGCAAACAAGTCGGGCAAACAAATCCTGGCAAACATTGGGAAATCCTTTTTCTTGCGGGCAAACAGTCACACAAAGGGGGGTGCCCACAAGAGGCCCAGATCCTCTTTAGTGCGATTGTTTTCAGCTGGTTTCGGGGTTGCTGAAAACTGAACACCAAAGCCTCAGCCTTTTACTTTTAAAGAAGGGGACTCATCCTAAGCGCTCCCCAGCTCAAAGGTTAAAAGCCTGAGATCTTGGAAATCGATTTTGCAAGTTGTTCCCAAAACATCAAATTTAAGATAACGTCTATACAAACAAGTGCGGGCAACAATCACTAAAGAAGAGGCCCAGATCCTCTTTAATGCGACTGTTTTGGGGTTCTCTTTAGTGTGCAACTGGTTTTGGGGGTTGCTGAAAAAACGATCCTTGGCAAGACTGAAGTAGAATTGGCAATGCTAGCGTAAGTACTGGGGATCTGAGAGTCAGTGTTGGCAATACTACAGTAGAATTGGCAATGCAAAAGTAAGTGCTGGGAAGCTGAGAGTCACCCTTGAACAATACTGTAGAATTGGCAATGCAACAGTAAGTACTGGAAATCTGAGAGGGAGCTCCGGCAATACTAAAGTAGAATTGGCAATACTAAAGTATGTACTGCCCCTCCCACACCCCCAGGATTTCACTAAAGAGAGTCCCGCCGACTGGTTGGACTGTTCGGGGGGTAACACTAAAGAGAGTCCAACATTATCCAAATGGAAGATGACTGAGTCGGCCCTTGTACGACTCGAAACATCCCCAATTCAGCAGATGGAAGAAATGTGCACCGTTGGCATTAGCGTTTTGGCGGACCGGCGGCTGAGGACCTTTCAGCAATCAATGCGCCGTCCGTCTGCCGAGAGTCAACTTGGCCGAGGAGATTGCCTGCAGGCACCGCCATTGATAAGTGAGAGGGTCCCAGTCCCCCTCTCCTCTTAAGTAAACCTTCTTGAGGCCTTATGCGACTGTTTCCAGAAAAGGTTGCAAGGGACACTGCTATGGGCAGCTAACTTCCCTTCAGTGTGCTGCCTTGTAGATGCATGCCGCACTCCGAGGCTGACGGGGGGCACTGAATTCTCAACTCCATGCCAACTTTTGGAGGTTCAAACAAGGGGGATTGGATGCCACCTAACACATATTCACCGGTCATGAAATTGAAACACACTCGTGCGTCTGGGCGTGCGGGCGCGCCCCCCGGCTCCAAAACGAGAATTCGCCCCCCCCCCCCCGGCCAAAAAAAAGAAGAAGACAAAAACAAAAGAACAAAAACACGACAACGTGCCAGACTTCTCTGAGCCGCAGGGGAGGGGAACTCGAAGAAGTCGGTGTTAAAGCCCCAGGTGGCCGGGTTGGATCCTTTGTCCGGTCCTTCCCATCCCATCCTCAGGCCAATCCCAGATCCCAGGCACTCCGAAAGGGCCATCCATTTTCCGTGTGGATCTTTCAACGGTGGTGCCCTTGGCCCCCTGCGCAAGTGCGTATCGGGCCCAAGATGACACAGACAAATGTACCCTTTGAAAGCTTGGTTCTAAACGTCGGGAAAGAAACAAAGAAGAAAGACACCCCGCCCCAGCCCCACCCACCCCACCCACCCCACCATACCCCACCCCACCCCACCCCACCCCACCCCACCCCACCCCACCCCACCCCACCCCACCCCACCCCACCCCACCCCACCCCACCCCACCCCACCCCACCCCCCACCTGCTCAGCAAGACCACTGCCGCCGGGGCTCCCGAAGCCCAGGTCGGGCCCAAACCGCCCCGTTGGACGGCTGGCCGGGCGGCTGGCCGGGCGGCTGGACGGGCGGTTCACCGAGTGACTGGTGGCGCGGCTGGGGCGACATGGGACCCCAGCCGTGGCAGCACGCTGCACCACCACCTCGGCTCAGTCGACAATACCCGGACCCTCAAACAAATTCTTTGAAATGGGTGACCGCCACCCGATATCCTGGTTGGGGAGTTCCATTCTTATGGGCAGTTTCAAGGTTCTGACACAAGAAGGTGGAGGCTCTTCAACAAGACTACGGCTGGAGAAAGGTGGGGGGTAGTTGGAGTTCTTCGGCACCCGACGATCCAGGCGAGCAGCTCCCGATGTGGCAGACCCCACGAAACCCGCCTGGTCCGGGTGGCTGGAGATCCACTTGGCACGCTGGTCGTACTTCCCCCGGCTGCTGGGGTCTGAGAGGACCTGGCAGAGAGCGAGCGAGCGAGCGAGCGAGCGAGCGAGCGAGCGAGCCGTGGGTCCCATGTGTTGGGTTGCAGCCTTCGACTTGGTTGGTGGCGGTTTGGAGGTGTTCTTGGGTGGTTTCCCATTGACACTCCAGAAAAGACAAAACCCATCTGGCTGACATGGTTCAAAAGATCTAGGCTGATATGGATAGATTACAAGAAGCGCAAGAAAAACAGGTACCAGAACCGCCTACTAAATGACCACTTTCGGAAATCGGCTTTGGGTGCTGCTCATGCACTGTTCTACTGTGGACGCAGCCCGCTGGCGAGCTCGCCGCCCTCGTGAGCCATGGGATGGGCGTGGGTTGGAACAGTTTTGGTTGGATGTCCTTGTGCCCACATCTTCCAAGCAGGTCCCAAACCGGTGTGAATGTTCATTGGGAACGCGGACTGGGCATCAGAAATTGGGGTTCGGAATGTCTCCAGCAACCCACAACTAAGGGTTACCTGAACCCTGGCACCAACAGTAACCTAGGATCTAAGATCCCCCAAACCAAAGCTACCCCTGAGGGTTCAATGAGATATACGGCCACTATGGAGCCATAAGGGCATATATCCCAATTTACCCTGCGGGTAGTTCGAACAGTTCGGGGGTAGTGGAACCCATCTGGGAAAGGAATAAATCTGCTGGGTTTCGGAGCCGATGTGTTTTCACTTTCGTGTAAAGAAAACATTGAAATCCAGGGAGGGAAATACCAGTACAAAGGAACTACGACACTGGGGAAAGGAACTAACTATGGATGCCCTTTCGTGAGGATCGACCCGTTTGGTAAACATGCTCGAAGCACCACTGTCAAATCATCTTGTGGTTTCTTTCCCGCTACCGCAACCACTCCGGCTACTTGGCGCGCGCATGAAAAACACACCATGAACAAATACAAAAAAAAACACGTCAAAAAACCAGGTTTCCTGGCCAAGTCAGTTGCCATGTCTAAATGGTTTTGGGGGGCCTTTTTTTCTCCAGGAACTCCCCCTTTATGCAACGTCTGATGTTCTTGGGGGCGCATTTTTTCTCCGGGAAATCCAACATTTCCCCAATTTCCCCCCCCCCCGCTCATCCCCACGGCTCGAGAAGCAGACAGCGGGTTTGGCTTCTGCCTCATAGGCCTCCCGCACCAGCGCGAAGTCTGCCTCCGCGGCCTTGACGGCTTGGGGTCCTTGGAAGGCCACCTGTGGAGTTGAAGTGCTTGGGCTGGGGTGGGGGTTGGGTGAAGCCATCCCAATCCAATCCAATCCACTGGGGGTTGGGTGGATTTGAGGCCCTGATAAAGGTTTGAGGGGGGGGGGGGTGGTTGGGGTGGGGGTGGGGTTGGGGTGACATCCCAATCCAATCCACCAATGGGTTGGGTGGGTGGATTTGGAGCCCTGAGAAAGGTTTGGGGGGTAGACTCCTCAGCAAACAGCGCAGGTTGAATCAAACTGGGAGTTGCAAAGGTGGAGGTTTGAAAGGCGCGTGGTTCAAGGTGGCACAGGTAAACTGATTCATTGTGGGCTTCGGTACGGATGCTGGCATGTGGAAACAAAACTAGAGGGCCCATGCATCCATGCATTATTCTAGGGGTTGATTCCCCATTCTTTTCAGCCATCGTTCTTTTCAATAACCAGCCATTTCCCCAGGGTTTTTGGTGGTTTTCTAGAAAGAAGGATCGCTGGAAAGAATGGGGAAGTTACCCCTAGAATTATTGTACTGCTCCAGACCAGAGGTCTCGGCAAGAGACGGAAACGATACCAAACGTCTTTCCTCAGAGATCTCGCCCGTGAAATCGAAAGGGCCCCTGTATATGTCGACCCCAGATTAATTAAACAGGGTTGCTGACTCCAAAAATGAAGGTTTCCCCGTCATCAAGCCTGGTGGTCCCCTTGCGGATTGGGTTGAATTGCATTGAGGTTCCCCCCCCCAATGAAACATGGGCTGATGTTTTGCGCCGAGTCAATCTTGCCCGGTGCTACCTCCCCGTGTAGATTCTCAAGTTGGGGTTTAGCTACCCATGTATTATCTAGGTCCTCCAGTAGAGAGGTTAGAATAAGGGCACCCGTTTTTCTGCAGTCTATTTTAGTATGGGAACCCTCCGCCAAAAAAGGGTAAAAGGGCACTACTGGCAGACCTAGTTATGTTCATGCTCAAAAGGGCCTGGCACCAGAGTGCCGACGAAGAAGAGACGGAAAATGGTTCCCGAATCACGACCTTGTATTCAAATGGTCTACCCAAAACCATGTAAAGAATTAAAAAGGCTGCTGCACCCTTATGGCTGGGACTATCCCTTGCTAACCTTCATTTGCCCGTGGTTTGATTGTGGCTCACGCAGCCAAGCATTACCTTGGCGACCGGGAGGGTGGAGGGCAAGACGCGATCCAACAAGCCCCCTGACGTAGGTACCCCTGCTAATTAGCAATGAATCACCCACGGGGCACAGGTGTGGACAATTGAATTTGAATCGAATCCACCTGCAAATAAGGAACCCATCTCTAACCCGGGGCTATCAATGCAAAGAACCTCAAGTAAACTTCTTGACCTCAGCGAATGAAGCCGTGAATGAGATGCCCCTTGGCCTTCTGAACTTCCGAAATGCTTTCGGCCCAAGGGGTCATGCAGTTGAATTTCCTTGGATGGTTGACCCCGGCCGAAGCCAACGGACACAACGCCAAAAATCGACCAGGCATCTCCTACCTTCAAATAAATGCGGTGCTGGTCGAAAGCTCTTTGCTTGGGGCGGTTCTCGAGGTTTGGTGAAAAAGGGTGCCAGCTGCCTTCCACTTTGGAAACATGGTTGTTCACCTTGGCCTTGCTTCCTCTAACCTTGAAACCTCGTCGGGAACCCCAGATCACACTGCGGTTCCGTAGTGGGTGGAAGGGTTACAAGCAATTGGGCAATCACATAAACAGAGCATGCATATGACTACGCAAAAGTGGAGGTTGTTCCCATCCGACTTTACACACCCATGGGCCCCTTTGCGACTTTGGTAGTTCGCCCGGCTCGACGCTCTTCGTGACATTTCGGGTTCACCGGACCGGGCCTTGTCCGGGTGGAGCTTGAGGGAAACCTTCCGAAAGGCTCGGCTCACCTGGCTCAAAATCCCAGTTCGCCCCATTCCAATCCCCACTGTCGGTCCTAAAATGGGTGCACCTACCAACCAAAATGGGATCCCATTGGTTTTGCCCGGCTCGCCTCTTTGGACGTGGCCCCGGGCTGGAGACCCAAGAGCTCGTAGTAGTCGTCCCGCATCGCGACACCTCGTCGTCGGTCGTGGCGTCGTCCGCGGCGGCGGTTTCACTCGCCGCGGCGGTCATGCCATGGGCTCGGACGAGGGGGGCGTTGGGGGTCTGCGGTCCACGTGCAAAACCCACTTGAGCCTCAGACGAACCGGTTCGACGAATCCGGAAGTGGAATGCCACCAACCTGCGGCTTTACAAGCAGCAAGGCTCAGTGAGTTCCCATTCAGCCGAGGCCCCCCGGGGGCCCAACAAGTGGCCCGGTCTAAACCACTTTCAGCACAAACATCTAGTAAGTAGACCTGGTTTCGTCACACATTTCATGTTTGCAAGCTGCGCGGTAGTACGCAGCCCTTGCAGAAGTTGCATATACGTTCCACCTCCAGTATCCGTACCGTGGATATTGAGAAGCAATCAATTCATGAATCGGCCTAGGTGCCAGTACTCCGCGCTGCGGATGTACGAACCCAGTACCGCCCGCTGCTTGCTAGTTAGTAGGACAAATACTCATATCCAACCAATAAGTCACAAGTCGATGTTGGAAGGTGAAGGGGTTAGACAGGATTCCTTACATCCCCAAACCAGCTTGTTTACAAGGATCCCTACAAAGTCAGACTGGTAATTCAGCGTCTTTGCTTTCAGCCCCCTCTAAATCAGGCAGGTATGGTCCTTCTTTCTTTTTTTCAGGTATGCCCTTGGTCTCCCCTTTTTGGGCCCAAGCTTTTTTTAGCCCCTGCTCCCCCACTTCCTTCCTCCCCACCTTTTTACCCAGGCCCCCAGGCCCCGAAAAAAACTCGGCGGCTCCTGGGACTCCAAGGCCCGGGAGAGGTACTTCTCCATGCGCTTCCGGGGCGCCGCCAAGGTACTCACCAAGGCTTCCGACATGAAGGCGCCTCTGGACCGGAGTTCTCTCTCAGACGCGACGCACACTCTACGACGAAGACGACGAGCTGCGGTTGCGGCTGCGGTTCCGGTTGCAAATGCAAAGCAGTCGGGTCCTACCAATGATATGGTGAAGCCTTTTAAGAAAATAAGGATGGGTTTCCAACTGGTAAATGGGAAAAAACCGAATCTGAATCCGTAACCTCAAGCTCAGGACACCTATGGTATACTTGTTGGGCACTGGTGCCTGGCACGAGTACAAAGCCTAGGGTTGGTGCATGATTTGAAGCCTCCCCCCACAACCCTTGGCATGGTAGCACATGGCTTCTTCTTTTTTGCAGCCCCTCTCCCCACGTTAAAAAAACAACAAATAACAATAACAACCAACACCTGGTCAAAAACACAAACCAAAAACCAAACAAAGACAACTTCACCAAAGAACAGTCAAGCGAACCTCACCTGAGTCACTTGCTCAATCCCTACAAAAATAGTCGACCCAGAATCATGTAAAGAACTAAGAAGGTTCAACCATTCTTTTCGAAACCCACCTGAGTCACAATCAAAGCCCGGTAAATTAAAATGGTTTACCCAGAACCATGTGTATAAAGAAATAAGGCGGAGATCCGCAGCTACTTATGGCCGGGATCGTCCATTACTATTCACTTCCCCGGGTTTTGAGGACGTGGCTCATGCGCACACCTCACCTTCACCGCCGGCGCCTTTGCTGGCCAAGGACGCGAAGCAGTCGTCCAGTCCCACGATGAGATGCAGAATGGACTCCTCCAGCTCCGGTGTCCAGGTGCCGTCCCAGACCCAGTCGTACCTGGCTAACTCGGGGCCATGTTGTTGGCCTCATTACTTTAGCATGATCAAAGTCACCCCGAAGTGGTGGGTTGAAGGGAAACAACCGGTTCCATTTAATGTTAACCACGGGAAAATAAAACCCTGGTTGATTCATAAAGAGGTGTCTCCTGCTAGTGGGGATTCAGACACGGGTGAGAAAGGGCACTACTGGGGGACCTAGCTGGCAAACCTTCCAACACGAAATTGTCAGAAGCTGGCAAGCGCAAATACACACAAAAAAGCCAGCAACCAACGCCAAGAAACAAAACAAGCAGGACACTTGAAGAAGTACTACATCCCACAAAGATTTAGTGGTTCTAAAGCAGGTGAAGGAACATGTCAGAAACTGGCAAGCACATAATTTCCAGCAACAAAGGCCAACAACCAAACCAAGCGGGACACTTACAACACCGCCAGCAACAAACAAACCAAATAGGCAAGTAAAAGCCCGCCACCAACAACCAAAACGACTAGGGAAAGTACAAAAAGAGCAGGTGGACAGGTTGGGAGGCATGGCTTTGGTTTCTCTTGCCATGGCACGCATCGTTGAAGAGATCCAAGGCTTCTCCGTACTCACCCAGGGGTGAGCCTTGGATCTGAGCTGATACCGCTCGAAGCGCTGGATGTGTGGTGGCAACCACTGCGAGCGGTGCGAGAGATGAAGAGAGCTCGAGAAACTAGGTCCTCCAGTTTCGGAGGTTAGAAGAAGTTGGTACCCGATTTTTTCTGTAGTCTATTTTAGTAGGGGAACCCTCCCCCCAAAAAAAGAAACGGTTCAGGGCACTGGGGGACCTAGGAAATGGATCATGACGAGAGAAACCCTCCAACTGGTGGTGGTTTCCTTCACGACCCCAAAATGGTGCTCATTCCAACTCAGCCCCTACCTATCGCACAAGCAAGACAGACCAAGAGTCAAAATGGAGGTCAAGAAACGGGCTCAGGGATAGTAGGCAGGGCCCAACTCCTCCATTTTGGAGGAACCCCTAGTGGCTGGCAATCCTAATTTGCTCAGATGATGGTCCCTTGGTGCCACCCTGAGCCGCGTTTCACAGATCCCAAAAAGACAGACCCGCAAGTTTTGACAACCCTCCTGCTAGCCTTACCAGGTTTACAAGAGTTTCAGCTGGGGGGTTACTGGGGCTTGCTAGCCACTTGGCTAACTCAGGTCCCATAATAATTCGGTGGGAGATGGTGGATGCGTTTCCAAAAGGAAACCACCCGAACCCCATGCGTCATCGCTCCGGCTGCCCAACTTCCCAACTAAAGGCTTGCTGGCCACCCCTACAAGCCCTATTTTGTTACAACTGGAACCCGATTATTAATCCTTCAGTTGATCAACTGGGGTGTGTCCCATTTGGAAGGGGCGATCCTTGGCACATTCAGATTCAAATTCAGATTGACCACCAAACCAACTTGCACTTTGCAACCAACTTAAACGACATTTTCCGGACTCTGGTCCATATAGCTTGGTGTCCCCTTGAACCAACCCCAGCAAAGGCACGGCACCTGTGCGGAAAAAGTTATTCACTTGCTGGTTGGGGAGAACACGCATGTTTCCAAAAAGCTGAAGGGTAAAGATCAAACCAAAAAGCAGGCATCGAAGGAGAACTTTACATGCCTACATACCTATCCCGGGGCAGATGAGCTGGAAGCCGCCGGTGTGAGCCGAACATGGTGGCACCTGTCAAAGCGCATTAGGTGTCCCCGTTGAGGGGTTGAAAACGGACCAAAACATCGGGGTCTATAAATCGACTGTCAGCATCTGTCAGCAATCCCCGGCCCATTTTTCCAGGTTCTCCTAACGGGCTCTCAATATAGCACGAAAGGGACCCGTCCCTACCTCCAATTGAGGCGGCCAACCACCCAAAAATGCAGTTCAGAACACGTCCGGGGAAAAAAAAAAACACGCTGCAAATCCACCACTCCCCCCCCCCCAAAAAAAAGAGAAAGAATACGGTCCGTCAGTAAGTGTGTTAATATTTTTGTATGAAGCAAGAAACTGGACCCTCAAATGGTCTAGAAAAAGATATTTGAGACGTACTCCACTCTAACAAAAAATCGCAGCAAATCAACACCCCCCCTAAAAAAAGAAGAAGCAAGAATATACTCCAACAGGGCGTGAGCGAAGCGTTGGAAAAATGCAAGGCCCAGCAGCTCACCATGAACCAACACCTCTCAACTTCCTCGCCAGTTTTCACCCTGAGCTCGTGCATGCCAAAGTCCTGTAACCAGAAGCTGGTCCTTGAAGCGTTCGGCGTTGGGGCGACTAGTGGGTGGTGGGTAGGGGGTGGTGGGTGAGGGGGATTCTTGCAAGGGTTCTTGGCTAGGCCCTCCAGATTTGGAGGTTAGAATAAGTTGGTACCCAACGTTTTTCAGGTTTGTCTATTTTAGTCAAAGGAAGTTTAACAAGAAACTTCCGTAGTACTGGAACTAAGTGAGCTAGCTGCTTTGACATATAGCTATGACAGGTAGCTAGCATGACAAATAGATAGCTTTGACATATAGCTAGCTTGACAGATAGATAGCTTTCCAATAGGCTAGCATGACAGATAGATAGCTTTGACATATAGCCAGCTTAACACATAGATAGCTTTCTCAAGTATAGATTTCGTGGCAGGCGCAGCACTTTCGCAAGCACTCTCTGCGAGCTGGGGGATGGCAAGATGCAGAAAACGTTGGCGCTGTGCGTGAATTGGGCTTCCGGACAGTGCGCAAACCACCTCGGCTGCGACGCCTGTACGGAGGCGGGTGCGGAACGGGTTCGGAACGGTCTCGGAGACGGGACCATTGGCACGGCCGCGCGAAGGTTTCGCAAGGTTTGAATTGCGTGGCAGGCGCAGCACTTTCGCAAGGTCAAGTGTAGATTTCGTGACAGGCGCAGCACTTTCGCAAGGTCAAGTATAGATTTCGTGGCAGGCGCAGCACTTTCGCAAGCACTCTCTGCGAGCTGGGGGATGGCAAGATGCAGAAAACGTTGGCGCTGTGCGTGAATTGGGCTTCCGGACAGTGCGCAAACCACCTCGGCTGCGACGCCTGTACGGAGGCGGGTGCGGAACGGGTTCGGAACGGTCTCGGAGACGGGACCATTGGCACGGCCGCGCGAAGGTTTCGCAAGGTTTGAATTGCGTGGCAGGCGCAGCACTTTCGCAAGGTCAAGTATAGATTTCGTGGCAGGCGCAGCACTTTCGCAAGGTCAAGTATCGATTTCGTGGCAGGCGCAGCACTTTCGCAAGCACTCTCTGCGAGCTGGGGGATGGCAAGATGCAGAAAACGTTGGCGCTGTGCGTGAATTGGGCTTCCGGACAGTGCGCAAACCACCTCGGCTGCGACGCCTGTACGGAGGCGGTGCGGAACGGGTTCGGAACGGTCTCGGAGACGGGCCCATTGGCACGGCCGCGCGAAGGTTTCGCAAGGTTTGAATTGCGTGGCAGGCGCAGCACTTTCGCAAGGTCAAGTGTAGATTTCGTGGCAGGCGCAGCACTTTCGCAAGGTCAAGTATCGATTTCGTGGCAGGCGCAGCACTTTCGCAAGCACTCTCTGCGAGCTGGGGGATGGCAAGATGCAGAAAACGTTGGCGCTGTGCGTGAATTGGGCTTCCGGACAGTGCGCAAACCACCTCGGCTGCGACGCCTGTACGGAGGCGGGTGCGGAACGGGTTCGGAACGGTCTCGGAGACGGGCCCATTGGCACGGCCGCGCGAAGGTTTCGCAAGGTTTGAATTGCGTGGCAGGCGCAGCACTTTCGCAAGGTCAAGTGTAGATTTCGTGCAGGCGCAGCACTTTCGCAGCACTTTCGCAAGGTCAAGTATAGATTTCGTGGCAGGCGCAGCACTTTCGCAAGCACTCTCTGCGAGCTGGGGGATGGCAAGATGCAGAAAACGTTGGCGCTGTGCGTGAATTGGGCTTCCGGACTGTGCGCAAACCACCTCGGCTGCGACGCCTGTACGGAGGCGGTCTCGGAACGGTCTCGGAACGGTCTCGGAGACGGGCCCATTGGCACGGCCGCGCGAAGGTTTCGCAAGGTTTGAATTGCGTGGCAGGCGCAGCACTTTCGCAAGGTCAAGTATAGATTTCGTGGCAGGCGCAGCACTTTCGCAAGGTCAAGTATCGATTTCGTGGCAGGCGCAGCACTTTCGCAAGGTCAAGTACAAAATTCGTGGCAGGCGCATCACTTTCGCAAGGTCAAGTACAGAATTTGTGGCAGGTGCAGCACTTTCGCAAGGTCAAGTGCAAAATTCGTGGCACGCGCAGCACTTTCGCAAGGTCAAGTACAGATTTTGTGGCAGGCGCAGCACTTTAGCAAGGTCAAGCACAGATTTGGTGGCAGGCGCAGCATTTTTGCAAGGTCAACTTTCGCAGCCGGGGCTCGAAAATCGCAACTTTTAAGTACGAAAGTAGTACGCGAAGTCAACTTTCGCAGCTGGGGCTTGAAAATCGCAACTTTTAAGTACGAAAGTAGTGCGCAAAGTCCACTTTCGCAGCCGGGGCTTGAAAATCGCAACTTTTAAGTACGAAAGTAGTACGCAAAGTCCACTTTCGCAGCTGGGGCTCGAAAATCGCGACTTTTTAGTACGAAAGTAGTACGCGAAGTCCACTTTCGTAGCTGGGGCTCGAAAATCGCAACTTTTAACTACGAAAGTAGTACGTGAAGTCCAGTTTCGCAGCTGGGGCTCGAAAATCGCAACTTTTAAGTACGAAAGTAGTACGCGAAGTCAACTTTCGGGGATTGAACATCGCAACTTTTAAGTGCAGAGAAAGATGGGTAGATAGATAGATCAATAAACAGATATAGAGATAGCTAGAGAAATAGATAGAAAGAGATAGAGAAACAGAGATAGACAGAGATAGATAGATTTGTAGATAGATAGACAAATAACTAGCTAGATAGATAAAGAGATAGAGAGATAAATAAATAGAGAGGTAGATAGATAGATAGGAGATAGAGAGGTAGATAGATAGGTAGATCTATAGATAAATCGCAACTTTTAAGTACGAAAGTAGTACGCGAAGTCAACTTTCGCAGCTGGGGCTTGAAAATCGCAACTTTTAAGTACGAAAGTAGTGCGCAAAGTCCACTTTCGCAGCCGGGGCTTGAAAATCGCAACTTTTAAGTACGAAAGTAGTACGCAAAGTCCACTTTCGCAGCTGGGGCTCGAAAATCGCGACTTTTTAGTACGAAAGTAGTACGCGAAGTCCACTTTCGTAGCTGGGGCTCGAAAATCGCAACTTTTAATTACGAAAGTAGTACGTGAAGTCCAGTTTCGCAGCTGGGGCTCGAAAATCGCAACTTTTAAGTACGAAAGTAGTACGCGAAGTCAACTTTCGGGGATTGAACATCGCAACTTTTAAGTGCAGAGAAAGATGGGTAGATAGATAGATCAATAAACAGATATAGAGATAGCTAGAGAGATAGATAGAAAGAGAGAGAAAGAGACAGAGAAACAGAAAGAGAAAGAGAAAGAGAGAAAGAGAGAAAGAGAGAAAAAGAGAGAGAGAGAGAAGCAAGGGGCCAAGGACAGTTCTCCAAACTATAGTTGTTCACTGCTTTGAAACTTCCGCCCCCCGGCTCTGCCGGACCTTACTTGTAGGGGGACCCTCCCCAAAAAAAGGGTAAAAGGGCACTACTGGGGGACCCAGTTGGCGTTCGGCGAATTGGGGCGCCGAACAGGGGGAGTCTTGCAAGTTGGTTCCGAATAGATGCAACCATTCTGGGACGCATGCTTGAAAATAGGAGGCGCCAGAAAAGGTCATAACTTGAAACATGCTGTGAGCTCCATACATGTCCATCGTTTCATTTGGAGCGAAGATACAGTTAGCAGCTGTTGGGTGATGTTTCAGGCGAGGGAACTGAGAGAAGGACACTTGCTTCACTTGCACCCTCCACACACAGACCTGGCCAAACCGCACATTCAAACAGGTCTGAACCACAATTTAGACAGCCTCCTCTTGGGGGTTTCCTTTGCAGCCCTTGGTATGGTAGCAAAACCCTACTAAAACATGAACAGAGCCACAAACAAGACCCCGAAACAAAAACTTGCCAACTTTGCAGTGAAGGACAGTTGTTCGGCGTTGGTTGTTTCAGCCATTTGCGCCCAAATGCCGCGCTTCAGTGGCTCGTGGATCAAGAATTGAGCGTGAATCACCGGTTCGGGGGGAGACCAAACCTGAAACTGAGCACACACACACACACACACCTCCACCTACGTTTGCGCCTGGTCGGCCTGCTCCGTACTTGTATGCTAAGCCTCCAAATATAAGTTCACGTCTGCGAAAAGATGCCCGAAACCCAAAAACACGTTCTGCAGAGGGCGACACGTTTGTTTGGCGGGCAAAGCTACTTGGATGAACTGGGTGCAATAGTTGCAAGGGTGTCAGCAAGTGGACTGGGCTTCTTCAGTTCCCTTCCCCAAACAGAACTAGCACATTCAGATTCTGGCTTACAAAATGGCCAAGGGTCTGCTAAGCTGCTAGCTCACTGGGGCCGAGAAGAAATACATATTACTGTCTCTGGCCTGTAGTCCACCCAAAACATCGAATATGTTTTGAGAAGAGCCAAACCGGAGTGATTCTTCCCAGACATGACTGGGCATTCCTTTGCCAAGCATCTGCTCGGCGACCTGCAAAGCCAAGACCTCCCCTGTGGGCAAGACGATGCCTGCTTCCTGGCGAACAAAAATCTGGCCCGGACACCCAGGCTGCGCCAGGTAAGAGGGATCCGGATGCATGAAAAAACACCTGAACATTGCAACTTGTAAATGGTGGGTTCCAGCTTTATTTTGGTGTTGAAGAAGCAACATGGTTCAAATGGTTGCAAAATGGAGACCTTTTAAGGAACCCTGGGTAAGTTGCAGCCATGGTGAGATAGCTGGGGTAACCGGGTTAGTCGGGATCCATATAACTGGGCTGCCCGTTTTCAGATCCCCCGCCAACAGTGAATCACTTTTAGTCGGCTAAATGGAAACTAAAAGGCTAAAAGGGCAAGGGGATGGCTGGGAGCCACCAAGGTAACCAGGGTTGGAAGCCACTTATCTGACGTCGGTTGAACACCCAAGTGACATGTGAACTTTGTGCTTTGTGTGGCAGATGCCGGCAGCTGAAGAACAAGTTGTCAAAGAAGCAGTCGGGCGGTCAAGTAAGAAAACAACAAGGAGCCTGCAAGTGGAGATTTTGGGACACGTCGATTGTTGGCATCATGTCCATCCGAATAACCTGTAAGTGCAGTGTTTGGACCTCTCTACGTTTGTGCCAGCATGAAACCGCCCAAACAAGGGCCAAGCTCCCTAGCCTCCCATGTGTGGTTTCAGCTTAGGTGCGGCATTTGTTTTAGGATGGGTCGATGATTTCGGCTAAACCGACCCTTTCGTTCTGCAAAAAGACCACCAAGAAATCAATTCCCGCTATGGGTCGGATCCTTGCTGACGGCCGTGAAGAAGGAGGAAGTACATTTACATCTTGCTTACCCGGTACGTAAGGGGTATGAAGCTACGTCGGGAGCATGAAACGCCATTAACAAAAAAACGCCCTTGCTTGTCGCCAAACAAGTGCCCTCTACAAGGGCAAGGGTACCCTACCTAGCGGGGGCAACGCTAGCATTGGCTATCCTCCTCCCGGATCAAAGAACAAGTGACCCATTCGAATTCCCCAACTTGTGAAGCGGGCGCAAGGAACCGGGCCCAGGGAAGCCACGAATTTCCAAGTCTCAAGGTTTGGCACACTCGGCCCCAAATCTGGGATCTATCATTCCAGGGTTTCTTAGGTGCAGGGTTTCGCAACCATCCAGAATATGTCATGCGCAAGGTTTCTTAATGTGTCTTAGGTGGTGCAGGGTTTCGTGCATCCAGAATATGTCATGCACAACTTGTTTCTTTCTGCAGACCCCAAGGCAAGCACGCCAGACACCTCCCACCCCATCGCTGGATCGCCTTGCCAAGGTCCGGGAGCCCCGTGATATGAAGCACCGTGCCCACGTGGGGCGGGCTGTCCCCGCCCTCGAACTTGACCTGTCGGGAAGGCGGAGAGTTGCGGCTTCCTCTTGCGGCCGTGCGTGGATACAATGAAGGATGTGGCGGTCAAAACCCAGGTTCTTCCTCACCCCCCCCCCCAGATTTCCCTGTTGAACAGAATGTTGTGAAGGATGTGGCGGTCAAAACCCTGGTTCTTCCTCAACCCCCCCGGATTCCCCTGTGAACGGATGTGGCTGTGAAAACCTGGTACTTCCTCCCCGGATTCCCCTGTTGAACAGAATGTTGTGAAGGATGTGCCTCACCCCCGGATTCCCCTGTTGAACAGAATGTTGTGAAGGATGTAGCGGTCAAAACCCTGGTTCTTCCTCACCCCCGGATTCCCCTGTTGAACAGAATGTTGTGAAGGATGTGGCGGTTGGTTCTTCCTCACCCCCGGATTCCCCTGTTGAACAAAATGCTGTGAAGGATGTGGCGGTCAAAACCCTGGTTCTTCCTCACCCCCGGATTCTCCTGTTGAACAGAATGTTGTGAAGGATGTAGCGGTAAAAAGTAGTCGAGGGCCACGCCTAGCAATAAATTGCTTTCATCCATACACCCCACCCTACAACTTTTTTCATCTTCCATCTTCTACCCTTATTCGTTTTCATCATTCTTCTACATTCCTTTCTATCCATCTCATCCGTTTTTCTCATCATTTTCCACTTTTCGCCATCCTTTCAAGTCCTCAATACCATCATGGTATTTTGGTAATCTGGGCATTCTGTTAATATGTTATGAACGCCGTATTTCTGCGTTGAAGTTTTACATAAGATAAAATTATATACTACAAATAATTATGGATACACTGAATAACATTTCAAGAAAAAAGCATTTAAAGAAATATTGACACTATAAATATATAATTTAAGTATTATTAGGACATCAAAAGCTGTAAAAAGAAATAATAACGCTTTAGAAAGCAAACTCGAAAGGAACAAATGGAATTTATCAACACAACAAAAGGCAAAGGTTAGAGACATTATAGGATTATACACCGACAGGAACATATCACAATACACAACAGCAGAGAAGATAGCTAATGATTTCATAAAGGCAAAACCAGAGGACGAAAAGAGCAAGGCAAATCAAAAATACGACCAGATTATGAACACATATGAAGAGAGAGAACCACTAAACGAAAGAATGAAAAAGAACAAACATGAGAACATAACAAGAGGGCACAACACAAAACCCAGAGATTACACAATCAGATTTCGGCTTTATACTATGAGTGGATATGGAGCACATAAAGTGAAAGCATCGTTTAAAGACATTGAAGGCAGGACATATTATCCCATGCATTTCGATGATACGTATGCGGGAGTGAAGACTGGAAGATGGATAGAGGAGCTAGTCAAGAAAAGAGTTTTTAGACTGCATGACAAACACCTTTTCAAGAAGGTTATTAAAACAATGGCGCAAGATGACGACATCGCCGAGCATTACAAGAGACAGAAGCACTATATAGATGCAGTAGTCATTTATGAGGCCGACACGGTAGAAGGAGATATTAAAAATTATGACCCTAAAGCGAAGAGCTTAAAAAACGCCAATAATATTGGTATTTTTCATAGATATCTAGAAACAGAACTCGACCCAGAATATTGCACTTTTGAGGAAGCCATTAAGGTAAAGCATTATGTTGAAAACGAATGCTGGATTAACACATTGAATCATTTTTACGGACAAGAGAAGAATATGAAGAAGATGACCAGAGAGAGTATTTTGAAACTCATAGACAAAACAGACGAGGAATTCAAAAGCCATGGTGCTTCAATAGAAGACATGAACAAGGTACTTAAAGAATATGCCATCTCCGCCAGAATTTTCGATATTGTGGGTAATTTGATTTTTACAGTTGACCCACCAAAAAGAAACCACGATATTAAAACATTCTTCGCATTGACAAAGAATGACCATATATATATATATATATACATTAAATAAGGACTTGAAACATCTTGAAACAATTACAGGCAAATTTAGGAATTAAGTGTACCCATTCTGTTTTCAGGGGTGGTATGTCAGCACTGTTGATTCAATTGCGCATTGTGGCATCTGCAGATGTCACTTGTGAAACTTTGGACAGTTCCTCAATCACACCTAGGCGGGTCTCAATCATCTGAAGAACCTTGACCATCTTGATGCCATCGTTTCCATCACCGCAGGACTTCTGGAGAAATGCAACCATCAAACCCTTCGCATCCTCAATGGCGGAGTTCAACTTGCCCCTTACCTCTTCCATCTCTGCAACTGGCGGAAGAAGCATTGCCGGTCCTGCTGGTTTGGACTTGTTGGGTGTGCGGCCATGCTCAATGTAGTTCTGCATCGTCTTCAAGGTCTCCACAGGAAGCCCGTCGATGATAGACTTGATGTTGTCAGTTGAAGCCCGGCATTCTGGAACTTGGAAGCATCCAACTGCGTGGTCTTGTTGCTGGCCTTTGACTTGACAATGGTTTTGATGACGCCGTGGGTTGGAGCACCTCCCCTCAAGCGAAGCACCAAGTAAACCTCCCTCACCAAGTGCCCATTCACAACCTCATTGTCCGGGATGACCATTGAACCATTCGTCAGCAGGAAGTCGTTGATGGTCATAGTGTTGATGTTGCCCTTTTTCTCTGCGAAGTAGCGGATGTGGCTCATCACCTCCTGCTTCATGTCAAGCCCTGTGGACACAAGGTTGTCAATCTCAATGCTGAACATGCTAGTACCGCCCTTGAAGGCAAACACCGTGATGCTAGCCGGATTGGCAAAGAAGTCCGCGGCGCTGTTGACATAGAACTCAAAGTCCAAGGGGGCCATCCCGCAAAACTGCTCAAACTCCGCCTCCAGGTCCGCGTTGCATGCGTCGCTGAAAATGTCCTCCTTTGTGTCTGTGTCAGTGTCCGGAATGACGCCCTCCTCACTGTCCGCGCTGTTTTCGTCCGAAACCTCGCGGGGGGGGGGGGGGGGCATTGAAGCGCTCATAGTTTAAAGCCCAGAAGTTAACAAGGCGTGTGGCAATGGCCTTTTTGCCCATGCTTGGGGTCAGAGCTTCCAGCGTCAAGCGCCCTGAGAGCTTTGTTGAGCTGTTCAATGGTCAGGGAGTTCGCCATAGACAGCGTCAGCGGGGTGGACACCATCTCATCAAAGGTCTTCATCTCCATGACTTGTCCCGGGGCAATCATGATGGGCATGAAGTAGGTGTCGTCCTTCTTGTACCCTGATGCATGCCTGATAGTTGCAGGGGGCATTGGCGAGCGCGTGAGCGCTAATCTCGTCCCACTGATTCAAGGTGAAGGCCACGAACTGGCTTTTGGCACTGCCTTTTGACAGAGTGTATCCATTTGTTCAACGGAGAGGGTCTCAAACTGAGCACGTGTTGGTTGCACCAATGGAACAGCAAGGTCAGCAGGCGCGAGCACTGACCCCGGCTCCTTTTCCATTGGCAGGAAGCCTTCGCCGCGACGGATGAAAAAAAGCATTCTCATCACTTACAAGCGGTATTGCAAATCACCAGCACTTGAGCAAAACAACTGGAGAAGTATGCTTGCACAGCATGACTGCAAAAAATCATCTCAGGACAATGACAGAAGCATCATAAACAGGTCAGGCGCACTAATCAGAGATGTTCAGGAAGTCCACGAAGCCGGGACGGTGCGACGGTTGCCCCAGAAACCCCACAAAACCCTAAAATCCTACAAGGGACACCACGCCTAAAAAAATGTATGATGAAACTGATGAAACGAAGGAGGGGAGTGATGTTGTTGCTGTTCTATGTTTGTCCTAGAAATGGACAAATCGTTTTTAGACACTTCGATTTTTTTAATCACAAATATTTTGCAATATGTTTTGCAAAACTTATTTGTTTGAAATGGATGAGGCGAGGAGATTGAGGAAATTATATTTTGAAGGGTAGTTGGTGAAATGAATGAGGCGAGGAGGAAGGAGAGAGAGTATGATATCAATGTTGATTATTCTACCGACTTTTATTGGAACCATAGGGACGAACCCATTAAATGCCTCATGATTGAAAAGCTGGATGACATAGTAAAACACACCGAGCAGGACGAATACACAATGATATGTACACGCAATGGTTTGGCGAAATTGCATTATCAAGCAAAGCAGGCGGGATGTGACCCGAAAATTAAATTTAGTGCGTGTATCATTTCGGAGCTGATGATTCAATTCAAGATTAAGAAAAGAACAATTACATACAGGATAACAAAAACACAAAATTTGATTGATGCCTTCAATGCAAGTATAACAGTAGAAACTGAAGACACTTATAATAGGATGTCAAGAGCGATGTTTGAATTCAATAAATCACGATTTAATCCATTGCATAAATCTTATTATAATGACATTGATGTAGACATTTTAAACAGATACGGGACAGTAGCCCCCGCTGGTAAATTTCATTACTTTTATTGTAGCAATGAATTACATATAGAGATTGACCAGAACAAGGCATACACACATAATTTAACTAACATCGTAAAAATTCCAGTGTTTAAACAATTTGACACTTGGATGCCTTATCATTATGGTAAACATGATTTTGATAACATGGGAGAATTATGTTTATTCTCAGTTAAGTTTACTGGAAAACAAACATCATTATTTTTTTAATAAACAATATAATTTAATATATGGCATGTTTTAGGAGAGTTTATTGACGAAGTCGAAATTTTATATTTTAGAAAGCCTTCTTGGATTTATGAAGTAGATTATAAAAGTATAGTTGAGAACCTATGGAAGACTAACATCTCAAATAATTTAGGTGAAGACATCAAGGTTAAGAAGTTAATTTCGAATGTAAATATCGGATTGTTAGAAAAGGGAACTAACAAGACTCAGAAGAGTTTAGTATTTGATACACGAGCTGAAGCACTGTAGCATCAAAATGTGTATGGCGGAAGAATTAATAAGATTAGTGGGTTTTATAACGATGAGGTTTTGACAGAGATGACATATGAATATATTAAACAAATAGAATGGAAAAGAGGCGAGGG